GTTGGTCCTAGGCTGAATCAAAGCTTTTTCGGGGCCACACGCGCCCGTTCGGCCGAAAATTTAGCTACCATTAGTGCCGTCAAGTTTATCATCATATGCAGGCGAGCTTCCGACCCTCATAAATTCTACTTTGGTTGCGACCCACCGTGTCGGTGTATTCAACGCGCCACGGAAAGAATTATCTCTCTAATGTACCTCGTTTACTGCACAAAAGCAGCCGTCTTTTTTGCTATTCTATCCCATCGTACGTACAGTAGCTTTTCGTGCGGGGGATTAAAAGTGCAACACGTATGTCAAGTTATGCGGCATCGGCACTCCGCGTTGGTTTTTCCGCCGACTAATCCAATTAGCCACTACGAGTAATTAAAATTTGATTATTCCTGTAGTCGTTGACCGTAACCCGTAACCGAGGCATTGTGTCGGCGCGCACGCCGAAAACGCTCCGTACTCAAAGCTCGCGCTTTTGTTTTCTATTAAAACATAAACGTAAATATGTTGCATTTTCGATTCCGGTCGGGCACGCAATTTCACAAAACCACCACGCACCTCATACCGTCCGTTGCACGAAACCCCACCGTCAGGTTACACCCTAGTAAATTTCGGCGTTTGTAGCAAACAAGCTTTTGCCATCGAGTGGTATAATCATGGAAACTCATTGCGTGCACGAAATACAAAACGAATTCTATTGAACTGCAAATAAATGCAAAATTTGCACGCACATCCAGTTAAAGGCATTTCAATATGCGCACATATACACTACCACCATCAACCCCCTGGCCACACAATGCCGAACAAACAACATTGTGAATTCGCATTCGTCCTTTGCAATCTAAAACAATTACACGTTAGCGCATAGCGCACGAAATTTCCCAGGCCACAGCAAGATTAATACACTTGACAGATCCATGATGAATAGTGGTGGGGGTAGTGAAAAAAAACAACACAACCTAATTCGTGTTAGCGCTGGGGTGTCGTGCGGGGTCGCATTGATTGTTGTTGCGTTTTAAAAGGCCATTTTAAAAACTACAGCACAACGAATTGTTGTGCATCGCCGAGGGTGGGTAACGTTATAATTTTCACCTCCGAGCACGCAACCTTTGTTATCCGCTCGGCTCGGAAAAGTCCTTCACACACACACACACACAACGATCTAGGTTTATAATCGCTGAGAATGAGAATACTAAATAGACCCGAGGAAAAAAATTATATTGATTTGAGTGCTAATGCGGAAAAACACTGAGGTGGGCGGAGCTTAAAAACACAAAATACCGGAAAACAGCTTGTTGACGCTGCTAAAATTAAGCGCAATTAAAAAAATGCTATTTTTACACTGCGCGGCGCTGAAAATGATAAAAATTGATTCGTTTTGGCGAATTTTTAATGCGCACACTAAGTAATTGAGTCCCATTAATGTGGAAGTGCGCGGCGATAGCCAGTGACGCGCGTACCCGATGCGAATTTAATTAGGAAAACTTTTCCAGCGCGTCGTGTCCCTTTTTCCGTGCTGTGCTGTGCGATGCGATGCGCTCATTTTGCATACCGCGAGCGTCGCCGATTTCAATCAATAGCGAAAGTATCAACAAAGTCTTAAAAACTCGCAACGTCCGCACTTCGACGACCGCCGCCCCCCGTCTGCAAATGGGATTTGCCGTCATCTTCGAGAGCTGATACTAATAGATCCATAAAGGTTTCGTAATTAAAAAACTTCGACTTTCTTAGGTCAAAGAAGAAAAAAAATCAAAATTTTTACCTGTAGAGGATATAGATGAGTCTATGAAAATTTTTGCGTTTGCTTTGTTTCCGGTTTATGCGCGCCGTGTGTTTGCCGTCCACGAATATGCAGTAAATACGTTTCTATTCCTAATACGGAGAGAATCATCGTGTTCGACCGGTCGTATTTTGGCGCAGTCGTGGGTGCGCGGAGTTAAACTCTGGAATGGTTGGGCGCTTTCCCGCTCTTTCATCGCATTTCGGTCGATGTGCGTCTGCCTTTTTATTCCGAACGTCGGACGTTTGTTCCGCCGCGCGCTCCAGCCCGACATCTTCCTCTTTGTTCTCGCAGTCGTCCGACTCGTCGGGTTTCGGGATGCCGCCCGCAATAATTCACCGAATTCAATTAAATCCAGGAAAATATTTTTCGCTTCTCCTTTGTGCTAACAAATAGGGTACTTTTAGTAAGATATTATAATGCAGTTCTTTTTTCGTCGAACAACGCCGTGTGTTTATTGAAAACGTTGACGGCCGAGAAACGGATTCAACGTCGAAAACGCAATTACAGCCAATGGTAATGTATGCCGCATGATTGCTCTGGCGGCAATAAGTATCTGGCCGGCTGCCCACTTTTCCACACACCCATATATATATACAGTGCGTTTTTGACGGAAGTTTATTTTTTGCCATGTCGATATCGCATTTCAGACGCAGTTGAAATATTGACCTCGCGCACGCTCCAACGCCGTCGTTGCCGCCGCCAGGCGAGTAGTATTTCACACCTCGGCGTCGCTACAGCTTTTCGCCGGCGTCTCCTCATCCTCATGGTCGCGCTTTCCGCACGGCCGATCGGTTCGCATTAAGCTGCGCTCCACTACGCGCGCGACTTACCTCCTCGGAGCTTAGTTAGTCCGTTTATTGATCAGATAGTTTTGAGCGTAATTAATGGCAACTTCCGTAATCACCTACTGTTTGCCTCCTAATTTCATTTTCGAACTGGAATCAGGTCCGAGCGTGCGCGCGCCATTTATTAATTAGATTACGCGATTCCACTTCACTTGACGCGCGCGCGGTCGACGTAGGCGTATAATTTAATTATCCAGCTTCAATTACATTTTTTCAACAACTCACAGGACGCTTAGTCAAAGTCAGGGTATTAATTGAAAAGTGTAGCGCGATTTTTGCGTTCTTCAACGCGAGCACAATTTGCTAAAGTGCTACGTAAAGCTCACCAACGTGTGAGCACATCCTGCGAAGCGAACTGTAATCAAATATGAGAAAGCGATGCGTCTTCCCGCCCGTATCAGGTAGCGTTTCGCCAAATGGGATCCGATCCGGCGCACCGCATTTACATCTGATATTCAGCGACTCATATGCAAAATTACATTCGCGCACACTTTACCCGTACGGGGGACTGGGGGCGGTGGTACACGTGTCGGCACGGCGCAGGGTGTTTGTTCTTGCCTGCGTCTTGGCTTCCTCATCCGCGCACAGAGAGAGGAGAATTCGACAGAGTCTCGCCGCTTGCGGCTTTTTGTTCTCTCGTTGCCATCCGCAACGTCGTAATTCATTCGACGTCGCGGCGAATTTGCGCTGCGTTTAATGCGCCTCTTTCAACCCCTGCCACCCAATCGATACAATTATGAATGACACGCATCGACATCCAGTTTTGTTTATGATTTCCGATGACTTGTGTTTCCCCAAAGCTGGAAATCTTGACGTTTTCATGAAAATCGGTTAAAAATAAATATTTTCTTGATGAGTGTGCGGGGGTTATATCATCCCTATCCATAGGGATGTGGTATTTTTTTCCGCTTTCAGGGAAAACGTTTTTTTTTTTATTCCGAGCGCGCTCTGTGTGGGAATTTATCGTTTTTCAATACTTATATCGTAAATTATGTTTTTGACTCAAAATTCATCATTTTTAGTACTACGCATATTTTAAATATGGATTAGTGAAATAATTCATACAGCAATTTGTCGAATTGCGCGATTCGGAGTGAAAATAAATAAAATGTTTGCATTTTTGTTATCGCAAGTCTACGCGAAGGTATTTCATCATAATTAGGTCGTGCATAGTTTCGCTTTGGATATTATTGAATACGCTGCTGGTGGAGAGATTCGGCGCTCGCGATTATAAACTTTGAGTAAGCATTTCCGCGCCTCGTGCGCGCGTTCCATACCCCTAATATCGGCCACGCACGCCACGTAGTTTACCGGCAGCCGTTATTATTATAATACGCCAATAAATCTCGTTAACGGGCGCGCATTTTCTATATCAGGAATGAATTTTACACGTCGTCGCTGCGCGCGCGCAATTTGTGCGCAAAATCGTACATAATTTACAATGCAAATTGCGGGCGCCGCTTTTTAAGAATGCTGCCTTGTCATAGAGAGTTAATTTAATGTGCGCGCGATGCGGTCTCGCTCGAATTACCATTCGATAAATAATTCGCTTCGAAAAATCATGACTAATTCAGCTACCATCCATCTTCGCGAGCAAGATTCCGTGTTCAACACACCAATAGAATTTATATTGATAAATGATTCATCTAACGTTGCGTGTATCATTTTGAAAATTTAATTAATCGCATCCCGCATAAAATATTAACCTCGAGTTTTAGTATCTGAGGGTTACAATTGTAACACAGAGAGAAGAAAAAAATAATAAAATAAGAAGAAGTTTGTGCGAGAGAATAGTCCGGCGACGATCGCTGTTTGTAACTGTAACTGCGAAAGCTCTCGAGCGCAGCTTTTTGCTATCCGTCGGCGCGCTGTTATCGGTTAGCGTCACTTGTCCGACTCATTATCGACTCCCGGACGCCCCGGCTGCGATCCGCAATCATTACAAATAGTGCTGACTGCGAGCGTTTCGCTGGCGCTTCCAACATTTTTATCCCGAAATTTGGATCGCTTTATTTCGCCCGGTGGCGTTCGCCGCACCGACTGCACTGCAAGAAGCTTCGGCGACAGCGTCAAAGAAAAGCTGCTTCAAGTTATCGCCGCGTTATTTGCCAGCACACCATCGCAAACGTCATAGTTGAGTTTTTGCTAAATTGCATTCCGTCTAATCACCTGCTACGGCCATTCGGGAATTAATTCCAGATACACTGTATAGTATAGTATTTTTAGTTGGTTTCTTGGGAGTGCTTAAACTTAGACGCCGAAAAAATGTCGATCAATAGCGTAAACATGTATGCAATGTATGCAACCAAATATACACCGAAATATGTTGAAAGCTACTCTGACGTGTATTTACTAATTTGATTATATTCCTTCTTGTGTTGCAGAGCACCATCACATCTTTGTCGGCGATCTCAGTCCTGAGATAGAAACGCAAACGCTGCGGGAAGCCTTCGCGGCGTTCGGAGAAATATCGTAAGTTCATATGAACATCTACACGTCCCCTACTTCTACCTAATTACATTATAATCCGCGAGCGCGCGAGCGAGGAATTAAAATTTCGGAACTAAGCTCGTTACTTTACGTGAGTTGGAAATTGTTTCATCATTTTCCCAAAAAGCGGCGCCCGCTATTTAGAAATTAAACATATTTTCCGCCTGGCGTGCACTGCAATTTCCAAGTCTTATATAAGTTCACGCTCCAAGGCATACAAGGAAATGTGTACCTGTGGTTGAGCAAACAATGCGCAGCGCTAAATTAGCCACCTCCCGCCTTCCAACCCTTTTCACCTCTTTCTTTTAATGCAATTCTGCAAATCATAGCACAATACCGCATTGTTTTTTTTCCTTCGTTGTAATCATAACAATTGATTCTTTTCTTATTATACCACAAGCGTGTGCCTTGGACGTATATTATTTTATGTCGGGGGTGGAAGAGACGCAAGCAAAAGAAGGGAAAAAAACGCGAAAACGCCGAGCGTCACGAACAAGATTTCTCCGACATTCCCGAACGCGATAAGATTGAAGCATGAGGCATTGAAGGTTGTGCCACCATTGTGCGGCGTCGAGTTTTCCCGGCTGTTCGGCTAGTTAACTCCAGAATGCCAGCGCCAGGAGCCCCGTATTCAAATTTATGTATATGTAGGACTGGTCATTTTTTACGTTTCTTTCATTAGCTACCCAACCCCCGACTAAATTTATTTTCTTTCAGGCTGAGATTCAAAAAATCAGTTTTGATTTCGCGAATATTTTTCTTGACCAGTTTTGTGAATTTGTTGTGCTTTTGTGTGTGTGGGTGTATATATTGGGGAACATTACCGCACTTTTGTGCCTCCCAGCAGCCGGGTAGCACTCCGACGTAATGTCGCCCGGCGCCTCCACCAACCGTAAAATATTTAAACTGTCCCCGCATAACCACAATAAATATCACTAGGGGGAAATAAAACTAGAGCCGCCGCCGCCGCCGCCGCAGAAAACTTTTTTTGCGCCGGCTCTCTTAATTATGCTTTTCCACCAATTCCGCTCATAGCCACCACAAACCACGCGCACGCCGTGGCTTCAAAAAGAAGGCGCACATCGATTTTCCATCAAGTGAATTTCTTGCACTAATTTTTCGTGCAGAATAGGAAAAAAATCCATCCGAAGACTTACAATCAGAAAATGTGGGTGAGGTTATTACCTAACCGCCCCGTAACCCAAATAGTGGGATGCACATAACTTTTGCGCGCTCTTGCACATAAAAAGGTATTGGTAATGGTTTAGTGCCGGCGGGCGCATTGTGAGGTCGCGCACGTAGAGAAGCATGTGCGTTATTTTTGTCCAGCTGTATTGTTTTATGCATTCTTTATACATCGCCGGCGCAGCACAGACAAATCTCCGAGGAACACGTCGGAAGTCGGCAGGCATAAAAATAAACCAAAGCGAGGCAAACGCGAGCAATTTCTTCTCCGCTAGCTAGCCGAGGAATCCTGCCTCTGCCTCATGCCCGGAGAGTGAAATATACACGCTGACATTCGCCTGCGCGGCTACATATTTTATTTTATTCGCATAAAAATTCATATTCACTTGCATATTTGCAAGTCTAATATGAAAATTTTAAGCGCGCGCGCATGAAATATTTGTGATAAGAGATGGATTTTATCGTTGCACATTTACATTTCTTACAGACGCCTCAATTATCCCCTAGAGCGAAAAAATAAAAAATCTAGAACTATCGACGCAAAATAAAATAAAAGCGATTTTTGGTTTAAACTCGATCGTCTTTCCAAGCGCATGCTTCGGGCAATGTTTACATATCACGAGAAATCGTATTTTCTCTATTAGACGAAGCGCAACTCTGTTTTTCACGCTGCGGACGAAGATCGCGATCAAATGGACGTGTGTTAACACTATTTGCTCACTCCGCGCGCCATTCTCTGCATATATGTATGTGAATCACGGCCTTTCCCAAAAACGAGCAAAATGGCTCTGTTATGATTGGCAATTTCCATAAAAAATAACACTCTTGGAAATCAAACAAACAAAAACATTTTACATTATATCTTATCCTCTAGAGCGGAGAGTAATCTCTGCAGTGCAGATTTAATGCAAACATATGCTACTGTTAGACGCTAATAATGTCTTGTTATGTCAAGCGAGCGACACGCATTGTAGACCCTCGGTTAATATTTAATATATCATGCGAGCGCATTTGGCGCAGCGCAATCGCGATGGACCGGAGGGCATCCACACGGCCGACAGTATCTAATAATCGGTGAATTGATTATAATGACGTGAATACTATGCAATAATGGCGTTTGCGCCGCAGTGCAAATCTATCTGATCCAGATTTCGGAGCTCAATCGAATACAGAACACAAGCTTCATTCTGATTGAATGCCAATGCGAGCGAACACAAGATTAAACTTGATTTTCTTTATTCCTGCGTTTTCTATAAGGAAATTGATGCTTAGCGAGGTAAATATTGATTTGTACTTGAGCGCTTGCTTTGATGTGTTTGCATTGTTGTGCTCGCAGCCAAACATGGAGCGATTATTCTAATAAGTAGCAATTACACTATTTCCTGTTTGCGAAGCGCGCCGCGGGATATTATTGACGGTTGGTGTGCCTGATCGGCTGCTCCCGGTGGCGCTGTGGTCGAATATTTGATACTGTATCACAAGTTGCACACCTGCATCTGCATCTTGTAACTTTCCAGCACCCGCTTCATTACGGTCAGAATTTCTCCAGGGCATTGTTGGAAACATAATATAACTGATACTGACTTCACCAACCGCTTGTATTACTTAGAAGTGAATTTGATTAATTTTGTAAAATTGTGGCGCCTCCACCATTTTTTAAAATTTTGTTTTTCTGGGAGTTTATTCCTAAAATTTGCAGATCTGATAAAAGCGATGCATTTTTAATCGCGGTGTTATTTCGAAATTAAGCAACGCTGGTCCTCGGGGGACCGCAAAGACGAAGCGAAAGTCTTCCAGGCGAGCGCGCGCGTCTCGCCCTTATCGAGATTACCAATGTTTTGGTTTATTCCAGTTTGTCGGTTGTTTAAGCGCAGAGAGCTAAGATGGGTTTTCCCCGGCTGCTGGAATGCGGCGCGCAAGTTTTTCCTCCGCGGGATTACGGCGTCCCCTTCTCGCGGTTAATCTCTTTATGCGAACGGTTGCGCTGCGCCGCGCCGGATGGATTTGAATATTTAATTTTCGATATAATTTCGTGTCAAATCTTTGTGCGCGGGCGCGCGCGCGGTAATTATTAATACGCCCTCGCCCCCGCGCTCTAATGGAGCTACAAAACCCCGCGCCGCGCGCGTGGCTAATTGAATCCGAAAGAGAGTTACGATATGAATTATTATTAATTATGCACGCTGCCCCTCTAAGCACTAACGCAAACCGCTGCCTGCCAACTTGTTAATTAACTTTCCTCTTCGCTTTGACGATTGAATCCGGCTTTGTTTTTTTTCTGGGCGTCCGAGAGAAACAAATAAACATAAAAATTCAAAGATTTTCTTGCTGCGCTTCAATTAGACATTAAGTCAGTGCGGGGAAAACTTTTTCAAACACCTGTTCCACTAAAGCGCGCACCACTATAAGAACACTAGGGATAATTAGCGCGGCGAGGAAGCGAATTCAAGTTTCTTACCGTCGTGTAATGAATAGAAGCTCGGGCGATTCCGCGCTCGGTTATCTCGTACCTATAACAAAGAGATACACTTAATTTTCCGCACACTAGAAGTCCGCTTTGTCCCCGTCGCGCCGAGTGAACTCGCGGCCGGCGAAGTGGCTCCAATAAGGAACAAATAACCCCGGCGCGCAGCAGCACACAATTACGGTGCGGACGAGAAGTGAGGTCGAGTTGAACCGCATGAATATTCAACCCTCGACCAGCCCGCCCGCGATGCGCAATGCTGCGTTATGCCCGCTTTATGCAAATAGATTTTACTCAACGCTGAGGCTCGATAATACGGCGTGCGCCTCATTACGTCTAAACAGATCTTGCTCGCGCGTAAATGGTCGAACTTATGTTTATGCGTCGCCCCGTTTTATTCAAACTTCATTTAAGCGACCTCCGAGCGAAGTTTTCGTTTAAGGGTGGCTGAATGTGTAGCGCGGTGGCAATATCGCCGCATCACGGTGGCGGCGTCTCGGTTCTTTTATCGCGCATCTTTCAACTTTTTTCATCTCGACGCAAGCGTAATGTATGCATACCACTATTGTTGGGCGGAATATAAATTGGGGAGCGTAAATTAAGCGTAATCTGATAAACGGCGAATCAAATTCCGCAGCGCATAGATAACTCTCACAGCAGCCCAGCAAAGACTTTATAATGATACTTTTGTACAGAACCGTCTTTAAAAAATTTTTTACAAAAAAAATTTTTTGTTAGATTTTTATTTCGTGGCTATAACACAATTTGATTGAGTTATTGTTTGCCGTTGCGGGGTTGTCGGCGTTGCGCAAAAAGTAAATTACGACTTTCTTTGTGCTCAGCTCATACAAAAGATTCTAATGTTCGCAGATTGCCGCCGAAACGACTAAACTATGCGACGCATTCTCACTTTTGAATAACGATTTGTGCCTCAAAGAAAAGCGCCCGAATAAACTTGCGCGATACAAACCCGAAAGTTTTGACATTTTCGGCGCGGCGCGGCGGCGGCGGAACGAAGCGGGCGGAAAAGTTCCACGCACATAAAACACATATTTGTAAGCAAACATCGCGGGCGCGCGCACAGTCGATGTTTTTCTTACGTTTTTCCTATTTTTATTGGGCTCAACAGTTCGCCCCCGCGACTTGATCGCTGGCTGGCGCGCACGTAAAAAGTTTTGAGTGCCGAGCGAGCGTGCGCCGCGCGTGTATGTGAAGTGTCCGAAATAACAGTGCAAACGTGATAAGAATGCCAATAAGCGTTCGCAAACAGCGCGACTATTGAAACATCCACGACTCGTCGTCGTCGTCGTCGTCGTCCAAAAACGTTATCCTCTCCTTTGATCATATTCCCTTCGCTTCGTTTATACTTTCATACTTGTTCAATGGCTTCATCATTTCATCCTCACTATCAACTTAACTCCATCTATGATATCATATAACGATCTTTACTTTTATTTCCATGGCGTTATCCTGACGCAAAAAAATGAGTTTTTGAGTTTTCCGAGTTCGAATAATGGCTGATGGCAATTAAAATGGTGCTCGTCGACGAATGTCGGAAAACTATTTTAGTGCGCGACCTCGTATATTGCCGCCCGTAAATACCGGTTTGGTGGAGGCGCCGGGCTCCACGCGCGCGCGATTATTATACAAGATAAATAGATCCTTAAGCGTTTAATCTCCGTACGAGCGCCGAACCTGTGCAATGTAATTGCATAATATGATCTTAACGTTTATGGGAATACTTGGGGCATTAAATAACTGAGAGCTCGGCAGTTAATTGTGCGTTTTACTTTTCGAACTTTGACGCTGCTCTAAATCCGCAGTTCTCCAGCACATCGAAACAAGAATTTTATTCCGCAAAAACTTACGCTATAAAAGCACACACAGGTATTAATGAGAGATTTTATTTTTTTGAACACATTGCGCGATTTTTTGCTTTCTGCGACGCACACGCGATGGGATACCTAATGATGTGGTGTGATCCGATGCGAAGCCGTGTCTTAACCACTCCGAGAGTGGATGACGTCGCGCCTTGGCATCCCCAAAGCTTTTCCCTGTGCTTAAAAGCTTTATGCGAGATCTCCGCCGCGCAGATACGAACGCGTCTTTTCTTATCCGATCACAGCCTGGCTTCCGACGTTACAATTTTGTCCACAGCCAGGAAAAAAACAACATTGAGGCAAGGTTAAGTGAGATTATGCCGGAGGTGTGCGCGCATGCGCACGCGTTGAATAATTCACCGCGCCGTTAGTGTTAGGTTAGTGGTCTGGAAATTGCGCAGCGCTAATTAATTTAAAATGTATTCCGGCGTGGCCTTGGTTTAATTATCAACGAAATGCTTTGGTATTGCCAAGGTGTGATTTCGGGACGCAGAGGCCCCCGAATTGGGAATTTAGAGCTTCGTTTTTCCGCCTTACAGCGTACTTAATATTCAAAGTAAATTAATACGCGCGCGCGCGCATAATAATAATAATAATAAACTGACGCATTAGAAACGAGCGGCGGCTGGTAATGGATTCCTCCGTCTCTGATGCTAGTAGCTAGCGCATGGTGGAGCATTTTATAGATGCGCGTGCGGAGCAAATTAGTAAATGACGAGCCAGAGGGCGCACTGCGGCCCAGGACCCATTTCCCGCGAAACGAAGAATGACGCCGGGACCCGCCGCCGACGCTGGGGCGCACAGTCGTAAAATGTCCGGAATACATGCCGGAAATGCTCAAAAGTACGATGATCGTACATTACGAGGGCGGCCTCTCCCTCGATGCTGATCCCAAATGGAAGTGAAAATATACCGAATCCACGCCTGGCGCGCGCGTGTGTCGTAAGTCGCCCACGGGGCTACCGGGCTCGCCATCAACATCAACCCGTCGTCATTTCCTATCGGCGTTCGTTTTTTCCTCCTCTCGAAAAATCTACCTGTATAACGCTATAGTGTCAAAACGAAGGATGACTCGTCGTCTGTGTATCGTGCGTAGCTCGTACCTACCGACGGAAAATGGATTGCCAGTAAGTGATGAGGTCCTGGTGCAGGTGTCGGCATATGGGGCTCATCTATTCATCAATTCGAAACTACTCGCAATTCCCGATCGTACATCTTCCGCGCGGGCTTTCACTCGACGTGCGCCGGCTATTATTCCAGAAATTGCTCTTTCCTCCTGTCAATCCTCCAAATTCCATTAAATATTTTGCGAGAAAAAAAATGACTTTGCGCATAAATAATAAAATAAATGCGACTTAGGTTGACAGCGGTGTCGAAGATTGAACAACGACGACATCCAATTAGTCCTGCGGTCTTCGGTATACTAAAACCCGCCAGTGCGCTGATCGATTCCGCATCTATCCATCTGCGACAACGACGAGCTTTCTACCCGTATACAAAAGGGGCTCAATCGAACTAATTCGTTTTACGTCACACGCACAATGCGCGGAATTTGTATGTGCCGCACATTGTGCCCTGGACGTACACGTAAAATGCATCGCAACGCGGCTGGCATTGTATACGCTTCGCGTAGCAAAACCAACCCTGGGGCTGAGGGCGGAACTGGCACCCAACTGCTCCCCCATCGCGTACGTGCAGTGACCGTCCGACGGACCGTTAATTCGCTGCGCGCCGCTGGAAAGTTAACCGGCAGCGAAAGCTACGCTGCCGTCGCATAAATCTTCTCAATTAATTAAAGCCCATCTTGTAAAAATCTATAAATAAGATGCCGCAGCGTGTACTCTACCCGGCTAGCACAAAAACAAATAAAATAATACATAAATTCGGGAGCAATTTGCTGTTTTCCTTCCCATTTCCCCCACCCCCATGGACTGGTCATGGCGCATTTTTCACGCCAGTGATATTTCAGCCGGTCAAGCGTTTTACATGACCTTTCCGTGTGCCGGGGCCGAAAATTGCAGTGCATGTTATTTAATGAGCCGCGCGGAGGCACTTCCGTTGCGCAGTTTCAACCTAACCTATATAATTTGCCTGCAATGACACCCAGTGATGTGCTTCCCTCTGCAAACTTTTTCCTTTCAGTTTTATCACCCGCCACTGACGACATATTTATACCTAGATCTAACACTAGAGTGGTGGGAGTTGCCTTAAAACCATTCGGGGAATACCGGTTTGTTGGGGGCTTGACCGCGGGTCTCGGGTCGAGCTGCTTGACCCGACCCCGGTGGCTTACTCTCGCTTACCCTCTGCGAGCTTCATCTTGCTGGTGATAATAAATTATTATTAACGCGCTTGTACTCGAAGAGGTAATGCGCCACCACGACCCGCATGTACTATTCAGTGCGCTCGCGCTTTGAACGCGCGGCAGTCAAAAGTCCCTTTTTGGTTGCAAGTCACCCCTTTGTGCCTTTGCATCTTTGATGTGTGCGTGAGTGGAGAGCGAAGAACGTGGAAACCTGCGGAACGCGGAAAGCTCAACACGGACCATAAATCAAGCAGTATTTATTTATCTAATTGTATCTCGCATTAAAGCTGAATACATTTCGGCGTGGGGGCGGCGAGTTTCCAGATGCACTGCAGTAGTGTCGGCGTTGCTGCTCCTTCCAAACCACCACCACCACTGTGCTGCTGCGCTGGCATGTCGGCAACTTTCATCGCCGGTTTATTTGGTCGGGCATTAAGTGCTGGCGATTAAATAAAATTAAGCGAACAAAGCGCAGAAACAGTTCCTTCGGAATAATGTACGCACGGACCATTTTTGTATAATGTTCACTTCATAACGGAGTAATGCCGCTCTTTTTGCATCAATAATACATTTCGCCCCGAAACCGAGCCCCGGGAGCACCACCGCTACTCTTGTTTTGTTTTAATTAAATTTTCCGAATTGAATCCACCGCATTGTCGGATGTTACGCAACGCAAGCCCCAAGACATCCGCTATTATACACGATTATGTATTAATATAATTTCATCCGAATTATAATAAACACAAAACGCAAAAATGTTATTTCTGGCACTGAAGCAGCAAATTTGGGCGAGGAAACTCGCGGTGGAGAAATGCAATATCTTGTAGTTTGCTTGCCACTCTGAAATTCGTAGTAAACTTTACGGATAATTGCAACGAACGTGCTGTGGTAATGAAGATACCCTTTCGCCCAAACAAAGTTTGCATCCGGCTCGCAGGAGTTCCGACAAAATGTGACAAACGGCTGCACCTCGTTGGTTATTAATAAGTATTGAACGTCATTGGCTTAGTGCTTATGTCGCAAGCATCCTCCTCGAGAGGAGCAAAGTTTCCGGGAGACAGTTCTCTCCAGCCGTGCACATTGTCTGATAATTAGTCCTGGTGACCAGGCGCGCACAATACCAACCATAATTGCCACTCTAAACACATCACAAGCAGCTCGAGTACCAGGCACCTCCACCAACTAAACACAAAATGTTTTTTTCTTCCGCTGTTATGTCTTGAAATGTGGGAAAACGGGTGTGAATTTATATGCACCGGAACCACCTCTTCCGTGTTGTATAATCCCTGCATATTCTCGCTTATCGCCGATGCCGATTCCATTCAATCAACAATGGCCGAACACATCGTCCGACCGCGCCTCTGCGGGCTCTGACAGATTATCGCATCGGCGTGGACGCGCAGAAAAATTACCCACCCTCGGGCGGCCGGGTGAGAGAGGAAGGGATCTTAATTGCAGCCACGCGGAGATTTAGTATGCGTCGCCCGAATTGCGCTCGCTGGCGCAAATCCCACATACATTTCGATCCGTCCCGCCGGAAAGTTTTTGCTCACGCGGAGAGATACTCGAAAAACCGCTTGCCATTCATTAACAAACCGTCGGGTCTCGCTCGCACCCCCGCACTGCGCACGCAAACATAACGCAATCGCGTTTATCCATTCGACTGAATGCCCTCGACAAAAGTTTGCGCAAGATTCGCATAAATCTCACCTCGCCGAATGCGAATCGTTTAATAAATTACCAGATTATGAACGTTTTTCCGGCTGCGGGGGGCGCGCTTTAAAAAGAAATGTCACGCCAAGCGAAAAACTCATCGATTGTTTTGTTTGTTTCAGGGATTGTCGAGTCGTGCGGGATCCGCAGACGCTGAAATCGAAAGGATATGGCTTCGTTTCGTTTATTAAAAAAGCGGTAAGTTTTTTCCTCTCGGAGTGTTATCTCCGCACTGATCCAACTGCCAAGAGTCACATTTCAACGTTTTCAGCGAGTTCAAGACATTAGAGCTGTTTTTGTTAGCGTTGGCGGAGCAATGCGGGCATTTTTGACTTTGCGGATCGATGCGCGTGACACTTACTTCAGTAGTTTCGCAATGAATCGAGTTTTCCGCTAACTTCTTGCAATCGCACCTGTAGCTTACCTGTGGCGATGCCAAGGTGATTTCTTCTGCCAAAAAAAGCACTTGTTGTATTTGACCTTAGGATTTTTTCCACAAAATTTAAAAAATTTAGTGAATTTTGTTTTTGAAAATTCATCAACGTCGCAAAGGATTAATGGCACAATTATCGAGACTCTATTCGTAAACTTCTCCCCAGCGGACGAAAATCGACATCAGCGTAGAAAATTCGCACGCAAGTGCCGCTGTTTAGTGCGCTGTAAATCTTTGCCAAATTGTTTTTTAATTAGAACATTCCGGCTGGCGCGCATTGCGAATGTATACACTACGCACAAACGTTCCACCCGGCAAACACAGATCGATATTTGAGCACACAGGGTTGCATTCGAACACACAAAGAACTTGCAACGTTTCAAAAATAATTTACTTTGACACCTCGACGCCCATTATGACATAATTCGTGCGGCCGACCAATTTTTCGGACACAAAGCAAAAAAGCACACCCTGGCAAGAAGGAGGCGGAGGCGGCGGTGGTGAAAAAATGTGTCTATCCAGTTAACCCACACACGGGACGCACAAAGGTCAGCGGGCTTTTCATACACATTCTGCCGTGAAATTATGGTACGTGCCCGGGATGGCAAAAGTCTTAAACAACTTGGAAACTGACGACCTGTAAAATCTAAAAATAATTGACCATAATGTCGGCGGCGGCATTTCGCTTCCGGTTGTCGCGTCCGGCGTCGGAACACATCGACATGTCAATATTTTGCACAAATTGCACTGCAGCTCAAACTCGCATAATTTTACTTCGTAGATAAACTTTTATTACACAAACGTTAAACTAAATATAACTAATTTCGTACGACAAGCTAAGCGTAACAGGTCTAGCCAGTAAAAACACCTCCCGGCTTAATTAAATGCATTTTTTGTGTGGAACAAGAGAAGAGGAATAAATTTCATCTCACATTCAAACAAGCTGTCGGTAGTTTTTGCCGCCATGGGGCTTTATTGTTCCATCGTCTGTTTATTTTTTTAAGGTGAGCAATATTATTTTATACCCACTTGCCTTTGTACGGTACGTATAAATATTATGAATGAATTAATTGTCTCTTTGACGCGCTGTAATTTATGCTTGACTGGTGGTTATTGACGTGGGCTCAAGGGTTTTGAGGTCTACCGTGGATTAGCATATAGAACACGGTGGAAAACAAATTTATTTCGATCCGCAAGAAAATCCGCGACTGTATTTGAGATTTCTAATCAATTTACCTGCAAGCGGATCAAAGTGGTCTTCCAATTCCAACTTCAAAACTAAAACGCTCAAGATCTTGGGAGGTCTTTTGAGGTCGCGTTGAAAGCGCTAGATTAGTACGTACAACACAACTCGTCTCGCACGCGCGGCAAACAAGATGACCAGCCATTTGCTGGAAATGAGATCCATAACCCAGAAACGTAAACCCTCCGGTTGGCACTCTGTTTAGCTCAGCGGGCGGCCCGTAACCAGACCATTGTTTGCGCAAAGCTGTCTCACGATTGTCGAGCGCTTTCTTCGTATTCCCCCACAGCAAACCCTAGTAATTGACACTGCTCTTTTACCAAACGCCCGTCATTAAAGTCCGACCACTCTAATGGACACTTTTGAGCTGCATTTCATTAAGCGCCAAAAATTATCCACATTCTGTATTTTTTCCTGCTGCCAACTTTGGGATCTAATGACGCATAATGTGGATAATTTTCCCTCGATTAACCAATTTCCTATACCCGCAATTTGGTTCAGCCTCTAAAGTACTTTTAACCGACCAAGGAAAATCGTTTATTGTAAAGGACGGGGGTGGGCAATTAGAAATCGTGTTTTTGCTCATGTCCAATGTCCATCTCTGGAAGTATCCGCCTATGTATGTGTGTGTAGAAAGTTTGACCGGCAGCTTACACATCTCATTAATTACCATCATCCCTTCCTGTCCGTGTTTATTCATTCGGTTGCGGGCGGGGAGTGACTTAGCCGAGGCCGATCCGGCTGCTGCGCCGAAAACCGCAAAACGTTAAAGGGAATACTAAACAGGATCCCAGGCGCGGCGCTATGCTAGTGGTGGTATTATATGACTTTTTGTTCCTTCCACCATAGTCTCCAAACTAGGCAATGGAATTGTTTTGCCTCCTTGTTTGTTTTATTAATTACGCTCGGTTCGTCTTGCTTTATATTATCTCCCAGCGCATCTTAGAAAGGGTACAGCAGAACAAAAAGTAACTCTACATATTCCACGCGCATATTAACATTCCACAGCCAAAAATATTTTCACTTAACTCACGCCTCATTCCGCCCAGCGTCTATTGGCGTTTGGTGCTTTTTGTATTCATAACGCACGATTGCATTTTATTTATTGCTATGGGGTTGACGTTTTCGTTATTTTTATTACCCACATTAGGCATTACCGCATCGACTATCGACATCGGGGCCTCGGAGCACGCGCACGCGGGTATAATGTGCGAAAACACGACCCGGGGCGCACAAAATCTGATTGGAATGAAGTTGTCCCCACAGCCCATAAAACATACGATAAAATACAGCGCGTTTAAAGAAAGTGCGACGTAATGGCGATATATATTTTACGTTAACAATGGCCATAAACGCGCCAGTGTAAAACAGGTGATCTTTTTCTATGGGGGACCCAGTCGCGGGCGAAATTCGCGCAGTTATTGCATTATGCAGAGAACTTGCGGTTTGTTTGCTCTCAACGAGCTAAAGTTTCTCGCATGGTGGATGCGCCGGGCGCACACATAAAATATACTTCTTAAAATAACAGCCTGAATAAACCAACAGCGCGCGCGCACGCTTCTCCGAATTAGTTTGGTAAATATTGTTGTTGCTAAAATATGTACCAATTATACGGGGGTGTAAGTTTCGACGCGCGCGAAAAAAGTCATTACTTTGCCAAGATTGGAATGAAGTAGAAGAAATGCAACACGCTCGCAAACATTATTAAACTTGTTCCACCTCCTCTCAGCCAACTCTCCTTTTCCTGCACAGCCACCCTTGAAATGTAAAGTTTACCACCCGCGCGCGCTGTTTGAACGAACTTCCAACTGGGGGATGAAAACTATCCGGTTATATTTGCATTGCGATGCATAAACGTAGGAATCACTTCCTCGTCCCCACGAATATCGAAGAGAGGGCCAAGAGGGCTGAGAAAACAATTACTTAAGCTAGCATTATACTCAGCATTATAGAAGATTTTTATATATAAATGTGTTTTTACTTGTTGACGCCAAAAATGGTGAAGGCGCCGGGCAAATTACGTATTGCGCAACAATATGCGCGTCGCTACGCATTCCGTTGATGGAACCGAAACACCCGCCACCGCCGCCGCATGCCATTCTCTTAACATACTGCAGCGAAAAGAGCGATGCGGCGGCGACGTGCGGTAATGGTGTCGGTGGTGGAGGCGGCTATGCAGCGCGCGTTTTCGATTCACGACGTCTGCATGCGCACACTGCATCTCCACATCCACACAGTATCACAATGAATTTCCACCACCGCCCCCATACATACGTATATATAGTAACTTGCGGTGCATGCCGCATGCCCATTTCAAGTTCGCTTTGTGCGATCGGTTACGGTCGCCCGCGCGGCCGCCGCTACTGCATCAGCTCGCTAACAACATTTAACAACATTTTTATGGCGTTCGCGAAAGAACAACCGCCGTCAGCCGAAACTGCAGCGAGCGTTTTACGATTGCCAACTTCGCGCAAACTTTAACAGTGATTGCAGCCCAGCGCGGAATGTCCTACTATTGATTCAAAACGGAATTATAGCCTTTATCCTCATCACAAACGTGTATAATACATAATATTTAACAAGCAAATAATAATCATCATTAAAATTTTTGGAAAAAATAAAACTTAGCAGATTATCTAGTAACTAGTGAATATTTTACGTTTGAGTTTATGCTCTGCGTTGAATTTACATTAAAACACGCTGCGGTATAATTTTTCTATTCATCGTGCGCGGCTGTCGCGAGTTTACTTTAGTGGCTTGCGCACGTTAAGTTTTTTTTGGAGGCAACTGCAGCACAATGCATACCCTGCCGCCTCCCGAACGAGGACGAATCGAGTTTTACAGCCGTGAGTCCGCCGTAAACCAAATATAAAACAGACGCAAAGCTTCGGCACGCTATGCTCGTCTGCACCACTAATCGATTAGCACAGTCGCCGTGTGCATAACTGCACAGATTCAACACAATGTTATGTCGCCCAGCGCAGAACAATAATTCGGGACGAGTTGTAAACTTGGCCAAGAAGTCCCCATTCGTACAAAATTGGCTAGTTTCTTGAAGTTGAGTGCACTGTGTTCGCAATGTGAGCTCTTGGGGGTTGGTGCGACTGTAAATTTCCACTGCTGCACATTGTGCACAATGCACACGTTTATCGTGGATTATTCACGCGAGCACGTATTATTCGGGGGCAGCACACACGCGTTTCTCTGCGTAGTTGGGGCGGGTCTTCTGGGACGCGTGCATCCCCCAAAGCACACATACACACATACATTATGTAACTATCTGCCTCTCCTAAATTATGCCCAGATCGATAAAGTAGCCACAATCAACAAAGTAATGACCCCCAACCCCTTGAAACCCACCCCGCGCTGCCACCCACCAGATGACCTGGTGTGAGATTCTGTATTTTTTTTCCCTTCACAAAAGCTGTGCGTTTTTTTGCCGCCCACTTTCGTTTAGTTTCTCGCCGTTTCCTTTCCCGTTTAGCTTCGCCCTTTTATACTCTGTTAAGCTCGTGATTATAGAGCCGGCGAGTAAAACAGGAAAAAATGCGCGCACAAAAAGAAAGGAATTAATTCCGGGAGCCGTGTTGTCACATTTTATTTCCTCGCCTGTTCGCATTTTGTCAGATAACGCGTGCGACGACCGAAAAAAAGGAGAAACTGTTTGATTTGCGTGCGTAAGTGTTTGCATTGCGGGTGCTTTCCGGTGGTAAGATTGCATCGGCACGCCGCATTCCGAAAATGTTTCATTGAACTCGATAATACTAATTCAAGCGCGACAGTGTTTACCCCCCGCGCGCAACGTAAGCTTGCGGGCGTTTAATATGACGATTGCGTTCAGATTGGGCCGCGATTGGGCTTGATCGTGACACGTCGTCGTGCGGAAAGCAATTTCGTGCGCGCGCGCGGATGGAAATTCGAGTCCTTGGCGCCCCCACGACTTTGTACAAAGCGCATAGTTGTAGTTCCGCTTGCGAGGGAATTCGATGTGAGGCAACGCGAGGATTTATCGAATTCGAAATATCCAAAGACACAAAAGAAGTTGACGCATTGCTGGCAACCAATAAAATTTGACACGCTGCTCTGCTGAAAAGTCATGTCAAGCAGAAAAAGGTCATTCCGAATTGAAAAATGCATGCAGTGATTTATTGTCAACATTATATTATTGTTTCAGGAGGCTGAAAGTGCCATCGCGGCGATGAATGGCCAGTGGTTGGGGAGTCGCAGCATTCGCACAAATTGGGCCACACGAAAACCTCCAGCTCCAAAAAACGAAGGTGAGACTTTACATCCTTATAACTCCTAAACCAAACATCCCTTAATCTTGGGGAAAAACTCCCTGAATAGAGAATTTTATATAGAATAATAATATTATCATCTTATCAGGTCATACTTTAGGGATCTATAGACAAATTAGTAAAATATGTAGAAAAACATAAATATTTTAGTGTTTTAGTTGAAATTTTGCTGACTAAACATCCCTTAATCTTGGGGAAAAACTCCCTGAATAGAGAATTTTATATAGAATAATAATATTATCATCTTATCAGGTCATACTATAGGGATCTATAGACAAATTAGTAAAATATGTAGAAAAACATAAATATTTTAGTGTTTTAGTTGAAATTTTGCTGACTAAACATCCCTTAATCTTGGGGAAAAACTCCCTGAATAGAGAATTTTATATAGAATAATAATATTATCATCTTATCAGGTCATACTTTAGGGATCTATAGACAAATTAGTAAAATATGTAGAAAAACATAAATATTTTAGTGTTTTAGTTGAAATTTTGCTTACTAAACATCCCTTAATCTTGGGGAAAAACTCCCTGAATAGGGAATTTTATATAGAATAATAATATTATCATCTTATCAGGTCATTCTTTAGGGATCTATAGACAAATTAGTAAAATATGTAGAAAAACATAAATATTTTAGTGTTTTAGTTGAAATTTTGCTGATCTTAAAGAGGAAATTAGAGTATAATGTAAAAATTAAAGTTTCCACATCATATTTCATCGTAATCAAACAAAAGAACTATATAACGCAACAATAACATGATGATAGTATCAAGCCGCGTGTTATAATCGCTCTGTTTCACCCACCACGCTCGATATTTAATCAGATTATGTACTTTGCGGTGCATTCAGCGCGTTTTGCTTCAACACTTTGTTCGCCACTCGACACTTTCGATTCATGAAATCACACCGCGTAAATATAACGCGAAATACAACGAATTCTATTCTCCACCGAAAACCCCTAGCGCGCACACCATTTAAATATAATCAACTTGGAAATTTCATCGGGCGCGCGCATATTTTCCGAAGCTCATTGAATGGGACGTCGCAACATAAACATTGACTTAATAGAAACGAAAGCTGCGCCGTGAGAGAAATAATATTGAAATAATTTTGCATTCGTGCGCGCGCGTACGTGCACGCACGACGAGCTTGTGCATTATTGAGCGCCTCGCGGGGCGCATACCTTTCCGCGAAGAATGGGCGAATCTCGAAAACTTACGTATTCTTTTGGCCCGGCGCGCACGTGAATATGTAATGCGTGTCCCTCGCAGGCATACGCCGCCGACGAAACGAAACAGCGAGTCCTGACAGGCTCGGAATTGCTACTTGATTGGGTCAACCGGGCGCGCCGCTCTGCACAGCGAGAGAAGAGAAAAAAAAACCAACGCGTACAAACCCGGAAGCGGTTGGCGTTGAAGGTCTTCGGGGAGCACCGCAGCGCCGAAAAATTCCGCCGACTTTATGAGACATGTAATCTTTGGCGAGACATGTTACTTACTGTCACATACAGTTCCACGCGGCGCCTCCACCAATTTTTTGTATTTCCTTTGGAAAATTATTTCGTTTAACCAAAGATTGCTTTCTTCGGTGGCGTGCGTGCGCGAGCGTGTGAAATCCAGCTCAGCGTTTTGTTTATTTTCAATTTTTGCGTTTGGGATTTGGAAAATCTGATATAAATCTGATATACTTATATATCCGACACCCAAGTGTAGGGAATATATGTGGAGTTCACTTGCTTTCAATTAAAACTTGTATGGGGTAGACATTAATCGAATTGCGAGGTTACATTTTAAACTCTAGCGGAAAACTTTTTACGATCCGGGTATGATATCAAAAATTGTTTTCCTAATTGGAAAACTCAGTCAAGACAATCGTGCGCCAAAAATTTTATTTGCGCCGAAATATAATTTCGCCTCCTCCCTGTTTGGGAAATCATGTCGTGACGGCGCAATTTGGCACACATGTAATTTCTGCGCGCCTCGTTTCCGTTGATTGCGCTGCACACGCGCACGCGGAAGTCGGTCGTGCCGCACGAAAAACGCAGCGCCACTAATTCCGGATGGATGATAAAGATGTCCGACTTTCGGCAACGGGGCGCGTAAGCCCCCCGCATTATCCCTCTGTCTCTTTGTATTGCGGAAAGGTGGTTTTACAACGCATCATCAGAATCAGGATCATCAGCAATCCCGGAAGTAAAAATAATCAAAGATTACACAAAAATTTTCCACCTGATTGATTACTCAATGTAAAAGTTTTAAGAATATGTTTATTTCCATCATAGTCACCTAATGCCTGCCGTCAAATCCGGAACATCCGCATTGCGCAGAGTCATACAGTAAACGAGCACTCGTAAAATCCGCGACGTTATGACCCAAAGCATAGTCTTGTTCTTGGACGCTCGGATTCGGATTCATTTTCGCGCCGGCTGCAAGTTGGTTATCACCCCGCGGGACGTGCGTGCGTGCTGCCGACTTGAGTCACGACAAAAACCGAACACGAACACGCGACTCGTTCGTTTTTATTTTTTAAACACGTATTAAATATGCCTCGCGGAAAGGAAGCAACGTCAAAGCTCGACCCTCACCACTGGACGACGAGTTTGTGGCCAACTTTCGGTAATTGCTACCAGCGACACTGGAAGCGAGCAGTTTTTAACGTCAAAGATAACGTTTTATTGGCGCGTGCACGCCCGTTATCGCTTTACATTTTGAAACGTTCATGTTTCAACTGCGGGTGAAAAGGTACGAGCAGCACAATTACGTATTATGCACTTTAGCTCAACCATCATTGAATTTTAGCCGGGGTGGTGTATTATACAGGGCACTCTGCATACCAAATGCGAAAATTATACCCAGTTCCGCCAAGTTCTACGGTTCCGGGATGCACAATAACTTCATTCAAAGCGAACAATGCGCGCGCCCGAAATTACCGACAGTTGCCGAGAGTCGTGCCGAGAATAGGTTCATCAGTAAGTTGCCTGTCATCTCATTAGTCGGGGCGCCCGAAATCAATCATGAACAAAAACACTTCGCTCACTTCGCTTTATTAAAAGCGCTCATTCATTTCTGCCGGTGATCGCTGCGCCTGTCAAACAAGTTTCATTGGTGGGGGGGCACCAAACGTGCCATCTATATATGAGTGATTTATTGTTACAGTAAATTCCAAACCATTGACGTTCGACGAGGTGTACAATCAAAGCAGTCCCACCAATTGCACCGTGTACTGTGGAGGCATTACCAATGGCCTCACCGAGGAGCTGATGCAGAAAACATTCGCACCTTTTGGTACAATTCAGGAAATTCGTGTTTTTAAGGAAAAGGGCTACGCATTCGTACGGTAAGTGACCTGAATTCTATTGATTCCAAGGGTGGGTCATTAGTGGATTGATTTTTTTTCAGTTTTTCCACAAAAGAATCCGCCACCCATGCGATTGTAGCTGTGCATAACACAGACATCAACGGGCAGGTCGTCAAGTGCTCGTGGGGCAAAGAATCGGGTGATCCCAACAATGCCCCTGTCCCTGGACAAGTAAATATTAACTTTTACAGGTCCAAAACAAATAGTTATGTTATTTTTCTATTTAGGCGCTAGCCGGAACGCAGTATCCTTATGGAGCCTACAGTCAGCAATTAGGATATTGGTATCCGCAGAGTTTTCCGACCACAGCCGCCGCCGCCCAAATGCAGGGCCAGTTCCTGCAAGGTATGCAAGGCTACACTTACGGCCAATTCGCTGGCTACCAGCAATCGTACATGGGGTAAGTGTCTCTACAAGTGTCCACATAAGCACCTCGGATAACAGCTTCCTAACCACACTGGACGTCTATTTCTCGCTTTAGCAGAATGGGCATGCAAGTGCCGACCACCTGGCAGGGCATTCCCGGCCAGCCGCAGATCCCCACGACACCGCAGCAGATGGCGACGCCCGGCGCCGCAGCTCTGCAGCAGCCCGGACTGGTGTTTCCGATTCAACAATACCAAGTGAGTATTACCCACAACAGCTAGCATGCACATCTGACCCACATATGCTTGCAATAAATACGCTTGCGAGGAGAGTGAATGATAGTTGTGTGAGTGTGGAATATAGCATGCGATAGTTTACATAACCATCAAACCCACACATAAGTAGTATACTACTGAAGTTTCTAAGAGATGAGAGATGAGGTCCTAGAAACGGAAGTAATAGACTACCAGATGCCAGGTGACTTGAGCTGGCATGAGCTGATAGTGGTATCTACTCTGCATTGTTCTTACTTTGTTGTGATATGCCCTTCTACTACTCTCTATCTGCCCACATGATCCCCCCCGACTGTCGGGGCACTCATTTATTCATGTATTCATTCAAAGCGTTCCTTCCATCTATGCTCATACAATATTTAGCGGCGAGTTCGATTTCGGCTTCCGGGCCGACATCGATGCTCGCCGCGCGATTTTCCACTCACACACAAATACCAACACACACACACATACACGTACAGATGAAATCCCAAACGAGCACGATGCATGCGAATTAGTCTCGAAACAGCTTGTGTCCGGATGGCGGCATTCGCATCCCCCTTCTCTTTCTCTACAAAACTCAACTGGTTCTTTCCTTAGCCGGGGGTTTCTCTTCTAAACTAGGCTTTTTCTTCTTTCAGGCTCAATAATGAAACACACATATTAGTCAACCAACCAACATAGTGATATTTTAATACAAGAAAATACACTCCGCGCGCACTAGATTCGAAATAATCGCGGGGACGTTTGTGCCAAAATAACTAAAACCCCTTTTCCCGCCAGCACAAAAATACTCTAAACCTGCAACCTGTGTTGGAATTGTGTGAATGCTGAGAGCAAGCGTGGAACCTGCACCGCACGTGTGGCCGGCCCCGACGCTAGCAAAGAAGAATGTTATTCATGGGAGATAGAAAGGGAGAGAGAGAGAAAGAGTGTCGAGGCCTAGGCTAGTTCACGCTTACCACCCAGTTCACTAGTTCTCACACTATAACCACAACCACACACCTGATCACACTCTGGTTTGTGCATGAGGCGCGAGCGCGTCGCCAAAAACCCCACCATCCACCATCACCACCACCACCCCTCAACACCCCCTGATGTGAGGTCTGTTTGGCAGCTCGCGGACGAAGAGTGGCTGGCGCCCAGCCTTACCCTAGTACCTTAAAGAATCACCATCGCCCGGGACTGGGGGACGACCTGCTGCTGCTGCTCCTGCTGCAACACTACAATCATTCCGGTCGTAAGTTGATTATCATGTGTTGGATGGAACGGATTCACCCGAAACACTCACACACACACACACATACACACACAGACATACAGAGACAGACGAAACGAAGCCGTATTAAAATAAAATATTGAATTGCATTCCGAGATGCGGATTCAGACATTGTGTTACTCGTACTATTGCGGTATAGTGTTAATAATACTACATGTTAAACATGTTTTAGGCGTATAAGAGTTTATATTTATAAAGATTGGCCTCCACAGCCTACTGTTTCAGTTTCCTGTTTAACCTTGTACAAACTTGCGTAGCATAGGAGAACTAATTACCAGATGATAAGTTATAAATAAATGAATATAAATATATAAATAACAAAACAAACAAAATATATGAATATAAATATATATATACAAAAACAAAATGAGGAGAACGATGATGAAGATGATGAAAACCAACATTAAAAACATTACAATTAGCTAGATCAGAAACCAAAAGAAAAAAAACGGCAAAATATTATACAGGGTGTTGTGTAGCGCAACATCCTGTATTATGAAACATACAACGATCCGATGTCTGGCGCAGAGAGGGAGAAGATTAGCAGCTAGAGGTAGATTAATTTGATGGCCAGCGTCGGAAATCTAGCCGAATATAAATAATGTAATATTAATGTACATATGCAGAGAGATATCGCGATTGAGGCAGTCTTGTGATGTCAGAATATATAGGGTGTGGACTCGTCCCGGCGTCAGAGAGGCAACAACATACAAAAAAACCAACAATATGCGATATATATACATAGCTTAAACGTGATATCGCAAACACAAAAAAAAATCCGAACATTTTATATAATAATATATATAACATGTGAATGGTGGAAAGTTTTGATACAAGATTTAACAAGTATACCGGCGACTATATATATATACATACATATAATTATATATATATGGGATAGGTATATCTAGTGTTTAGATAGCCGATACGACGAGTATTAATTAGCATTTATATATTAAAGTATAAACTATAAATAGCTATATATGTTCGTTGAAAGACAAGTATAAATATATGAATATATTTAAACTCGCACGCAAACAAAAAAATAAAAAAAACTGTAGAAGCACCTTATAAATGTAAACGGCTGTTTTTAGTGTTATAAGTGTAAAGGAACCACGTGCCCTGCCCAAAAAAATGTGTTGTGTACAAACAAAAAAAAAACCTAATAATATCAACGACTCGTGTGTTGACTCTTCAATATTGCATTTGTTTCATTCGATGGTTGTGCTATATAAAAACAAAAAACATGTTCGTCAGATGGTCAATTAAATAAGATGGTCAATGATGATGAAGATGATGAAGAAAATCGTTTGATTCGCCGCCCAGTGTCCCCCGCATTGGCCCCACGCCCGTGGATTATTAACTAGAGCCTCATATATTTTCCTTATCCTGGTTTGCTTACGCCCGACCAAGTTACCCTTATCCATTATTCGGCACACTCGGGTGGAAACTTCTTTATCCGATGCGAAGGTCCGGTCTTCTGCGCCAACCCCCACTCCAAACTCGGCATTTGCATATTTATCTCGCCAAAACGAAATATCGTACTCTGTGATAAGCACGGCCCGCAATCATTATTATGATATAGATGCACCAACCCCTTTTCACAATCATCCACTGTAATTGAAAGCAATACTTGATTTTATTCGATGTTTCACATATCATCGACTCGGGGTCCTGGGGGACTGTCTGGGGGTGAAAAAATCGATGATGATTTACAATGCATTTAAATTGCTACGCGGAATTCGATCCTCCAAAACAAAACTGGTCAATATTTGCATCATATCCTCAGTTGGTTGCGTTTGTTATATGTGCGCTTCGAATTTTTGTCATTGCGGAAGAAACCAAGGGCCAAAACAAAAACACACACACATATTAGTCGTGGCAGTAGGTAGGACAATGAACGAGACGATGATTTTAGATGATTTGTATAGTTTTTCACCGTGTATTATTAAAATTTTGTATGATTGCGATGAAGAAGATGATAAAATCAAAAAAAGTGTTATTCGTTTGTTTCTAATTTCTGAAGTTACGAGTTGAAAACCGTTCAGAGCGTGCAGAAAGGTGATGACATTGTAAAGGACAAAAATATATTATATATAAAATGAAATAATTCTTAATGCGACGAGCGGTGAGAGAAAAACTACCGAAATTTGATGAAAAAAAAATCACAAAAAACCCAACAACATTGTAAAGTTAGATAGAGAAACATATTATACTGCGCTGAAACATCCGAAAAATTGACAGAAGCAGATGAAGAGTGGAAGAAATTGTAACCAAAAACAAAAAAACCTAGAACATTATAAGTAGAGAAATGGAATTGAAATAAAGACAGTTATAAAGATTGTGTGTACGATGGGTTTCTTTGTCTATTCGTTCGCAGTTTACCTTGTGTTTCTAAGTCTACGTCTACCTCTTTTGCGATTCAGGGACTAACCTTTTTGCAGTGGAACCAGACCAGACCAGAATATGTAAGTACCCCTCGCAAGCAAACGGTAACTGTTTTCAGTGCGCTCTGTGTCTATTTTGCGCAGCAGTAATGTAATGTTCCTTTGTGCCCGTGGAAAGATTCGACACGCATCGTGCATGTTGGGGAGACAACCGGTTTCCACTGGAAATTGCACCCTCACACAACAAGGAGCAGCACGACGGGCCGAAACGAACCGTAATATTTCCATCCACCTTACTGTAGTATATACCTTATTCTTGCTGTTTGCTGCCGGTGGAATGTGCGCACGTTTACTTGCCGGGGCGGTAACATAGCGTAAGACCTTCGGGGGCGGCTGTGTGGCGCTGCGGCAACAATACGTTATTTATCTCGCTTCAAAAATCACAACAATTCGCATGATATTCGCGTTTTCCAAGCGAGCAACAAAAGATTCAAACCTTTACATTCACTTTTCTTGACTTAATCTTTTATCAATTAAAATCCAAATTGGGTTAAATCCAAAACAATAAACCAGTTAATCAAATTGGCCTACGCTCGATTTCATAAACTGGAAATATTGACGGAATTCAATTATTCAATTACCCTTCTAGCGCGCGTGTCGACTCGCCGAGGAATGAATTTGCTTTTTCATCAGGCGCCCGAGATGCGACGTAATTCGGCGCCTGATGTGTTTACTCTTGACACGTTTTATCAATTCGAAGACAAAGCCTCCGCGACGTGACGAATAAACGAACGGCGGCAGGAGAACAGCGACGAAAGGCAAAACGTACTTTCAAATCCTTGCTCGTCGACGTCAAACTGTTGCATTGCTCGGCGCAATTCTCGCTTTGTTTCAACTCTCAACTTTCGACTGATGAAATAAATTCGTTTGATTAAACTTCAATCAATCTACAAATACGGCAACATCATGTTTTACTGTATTTTATAGAAAACTGTTGAAAGTTTATATTTTTCTTCAATTACAAAGCATTTCTTTAAAAAACATTCGATATTTTCCGATCAGATGATGTTATTTTAGCTCTCTCAACTGATTTTACCTCTTGAAAAGATTCTTAACAATATACGATACATGACAACCTTCTAAACTCTTTAAAACAACCTTAAATCAACCCTTGAAAAACGTTTTATGTTTTATTTAAGAAAAACGCTTTGTATACAACAAACAAAAATAAATTATAATATATTATTGTTTAATAACGTAAATAAATACATTTACTAGATGAATTTTATTATCCCAACCCCTAAATACCATAAAAACCACTTTTAATAGCTTTTTAAAAAATTGAATGATTTTAGTATAATTTTAATGCAAATAAACATTAAACTCTCGAAATATCTGCCGCTGGATATTCCAATTCATAGTTTAAATGTTTGCTTTTCAATCGGCTGATTAATAATTAATTATTATCAGATTAATGTAAATTAATTTCACAATAATGCGACCATTTAATAATTATATGCGAAACAAGCAGCGATTTGAAAACGCAATAAATACGAACGAATGATTTTAATGCCCGCCACAGGTCCGGTGAGCCGGCTACACATTAAATATGCTCGCCGCCCCCGACCGCGCTGACAAAAGAGGATGTCACGTTTATTTATCAATGTTTGGTCGATTGATTCGGTCGCAGCGCAACGCCACGCAGTCGAAACGTGTAAATTCAATCGTCGCATCGTAATATTCATGCGTGGTTTCTTTCGGGCTTTGACGACAAATCGAATTTATTGTGCGCAATGCGCCACCCGGCCCACCCCCACACCGGATGTGATATAATTTACGACCGAATTCCGAATTGTTTTGCTTTTGATTTCGAAATAGATGGGCGAATTCAATGTGTGTGTACATTATGCGGAAAATGTATTTCTGTAGAATATTCTGTTTCAAAAACATTAGTAATGGGGTCTGGTGAGTGCCGCCCACGGCAAGAAATGTGTATGAAATTTTATCATTTTCGTTTCGACACAATGCTACACTAATGATTCGCGCACGCGGTGTGTGTAGCAACTACAAAAACGCGGCGTGCTCATTTGCACACATTTTGTTCGAAAATATTTATCTTTTGCCCGCTCGCGCGCACTGAACAAAATCAACAAACGTTGGCGCTGGGGTAGTTTCTGGGGGCCGTTTATAAATTTCGCTATTTTTATTATGCTCCATTACAAATATTGTTTCAACCCGTTTCGGGCCAATTGCTGTTTTATACCGACATAAATTAATATCGCGCGTTTTCTCATTTCAATATTCTCACTATTAAAACATTTTTCGCGGTGGAAAAAAAATTTTGCGTTGTTTGTAATATAATCTAATAACTCGAATGCGCTGCATGGAAATTTCTATTATTTAATTTGGGTGCCCACAAGCGGACGCCATTGTTGTCGCAATTACATTGTGAATTGTTTAAAAATATTTAGATAAACATGAGCATGCCGGCTGGAGCAATGAAGCAGCCGTAGTAGACAAAGAGCAAATTTCCGGCAGCGCGAAAAATTCGCAACCTCATTTCGCCCGCAGGCAATCACCGCCACTGTTACCGCCGCCGCCGCTGCCGCCGCCCGCGGCTACTAAACCAACCCGCTGTTCGCATAGATGAATTTCCACTCTCTTCATTTTTTAATAACGTCGGTTGTATTAAAAACTCTAGCACTCACTGGCCATCTTGGTGCGTGCGTCAATTATCCACGTGGTTTTTGATGTACCTGTTTGAGTTGGAGTTGCGCGCAACCAACTCAACACACGTTCGGTTCCCAGGGGTGTAGGGATGGTGGGGTATTTTTTGCGTTGCTCCCGCGGGCGCTTGCAATTAGCAGCCGACCTGGTACACATTACCGGCCATGATCGATACGAGTGTATCAAACCACCCCTTCTTCCGGCAGCACACGACGCAAAAAATATTTATTGTAATCTCTCCACGTGCATGAGGAAACAAAGAATATTAATCAATCACGTTTTGCGCCCTCCAGGCCACAAAAATCATCCGAATCCAAATTTAAACTGCGATATTTATTTATTTTTTAATTTTTTAAAAATAGTTGTAAATCCACTGCAGAACAATTACTTTGGCGATCAATCGAAGATAAAAAATAGCGCGCATGTTAAAAAAGAAGGAAAGCCGTAAGCTAGCAGCGCTTATTTATTCATAGCGCTTTTGTTTTTGCCGCACCCGCCACCCCCATACGTTATAAACACCGCGGCACGCACCCGCCAGCGTTCTTTTCCTTTGTGCGTTTCTTCTTTCTCCACCGAATCGGCTTATCAATATTCCTCGCCCGGCTGCACATTCTGCATTTATTTTTCAGACGGCGCTCATATCGCATGCATGCTAAGATAAATTGTTCATGTCGTGCGTAATATCCACCGCGCATAAAAACTATGCAACCCAATACACAATATACACAAAGCTAGGTTAGGTACAAAGTAACTACCGACAAGATATTATTCGTGGTTACTCCAATCTGTCAATTAGCAATGAAATAATGGAGCGTCTAATAGATGATGAAGATATCGATGGCGATATCGTGAATCTTGATTTGGATATAGATTTGCGTAATTATCAATTCATCGGAATTTACTGCCACACAAATCACATCTCAGGTAACTGCATTTATATTATACAATGTATATATTAATAAAGTGCAGCGTGTAATTGACAACGTATCCATTTTGATATTTTTAATTTTTGTTTTTGTGAAAGCAGCATTGGCAATATCAAATTTAATTTAGCTTTTATAAATATACAAAAAGCTTTGAACTTTGCGCTGGTTTTTTTACAGTTTTGAATAAATATTTATATATTTATATCTATAGTAAAATGAAACACGCATTTTCAACACTTTTTTTGCATGGAATCAATAAAAAACTCCGGCTTTAACGCGTCAGCTTAATTGAAAATATTTTTTGTTTAATAGATCAACAAATATTCAAAAATGTGTTTTATATAGTTTATATAAAATTTAGTATTATATTTTCGGGTCATAATCACCTAATTTATAACTTGTATCGGTAAAATATATTGAATAATTAAATTATTTTATGTATTCTGTATGATATTCTATGGAATACATGTAAAATCAAACATTCAAAGTGAATATTGTTTGTTTTCGTTTTTATCTTGTAACTTTTTTGGTGCGTGCATCGCGTGATTCTCTACTCCACATAAACCAGTCACCCGTAGGTGTAGGTACAATGCGAATTTAACACATAAAACTACATGGTATTGACATCTATGATGAAACTATAGAGTTATGTAGGTGTTTATATCAAACTAGAGCTGAGTTCATTCCGCGCGCGCATTTTTCAGCTTGCTTAACTCACACCACCAACAAACCAGTTCCTGAGAGATAAGAACAACACTTCGCTATACTTCTATGCGTGTTTACAAGTAAAAGATTTACACATTTTATATTTATTCAATTCCTTAACATTATTAAAAATATTTCTTTTGATTTAAAATTCAAGAAACATTCATAATATGTTTTGTATTACATTTGTTTTATAAAATAAGGTAATCATTACCTAATTTATAATTTGCCCAGCTTAAATATATTAAATAATCCAGTTTTTAATGTGTTGTGAGTGAATGATATTATTCCGAATATTTGTGAAATAAAACTTTCCATTGTAAATATTGTTTGTTTTGATTTTTTTTCTCTTGATTTTCTTGCGTATATTGCGCGATCTCACACAGCACGCGCCTCTACATTCAATTCTTAAGTTATCTCAACTGTTGGTGCCGACGCGAATTAAATCCGATTTTTAATTATATTATTATCCTACCTTATATAAAATTTTCCGAAGTCTCGTTGTCTTCAAACCAATGGGCACTATCACTAACACTTGTAATTTAGAAGATGTCCGTAACCGAAAATTTTCGAAAAAAATTGATTAAACACTTAGTTAAGAATGTTTAATGCCTTCTGTTCTATCACTTTTAGTTTATGAGATATTCGAGAATGAAAAGTACGTCTCCACTCTCAACGCGAGGTAAACACACTGATGCATAAATACGCACTCAACAAACAAACGAACTAACCACCAGGTGTGCGATGCGAATTTAGTGCACAAAACTGCATCGTATTGACATCTACTATGAAACTATAGAGTTATACTCGTATAGATGCAAATATCAAGCTAGAGCTGAGCTCGTTGCGCACGCAGCTCTCGGCTTAACTCACACCACCCTCAAACTAGTTGCTATCAATAACAAAGAAACTAAGAATGATTTCACACAAGTACGAGCGATACGTACGATATTCGCGTGTCCATATAAACGCTCTAGGAATGTATGTAGCATGTAGTATGTATACAAAACAATTTTATGTACAATAGATTAACAAATATTCAAAATAAAAGATATTTTAAATATACTATTATATTTTTTGCTTTAATAAGATAATTATCACCTAATTAATAACTTGTACCATTTAAACATATCAGATAATTAAATTCTTTAATGTACCATGTGTGACATTATACGGAATGCATGAAAAATCAAACGATTCAAAGTGAATATTGTATGTTTTGATGTTTATCTCTTGACTTTTTTGCGCGTGCATCGCGTGATTCTCAACTACATACAAACAGTTACCCGTAGTTGTACGAGGCAAATTTAACGCATAAAACTGCATCCTATGTACATCTACTTTGAAACCATAGAGTTATATCCAGATATTCGTATCAAGCCTAAGCTAAGCACATGGAGCACGCGCATTTTTATGCTTAACTCACACCACTCTCAAACTAGTTGTTATCAAAAATCAAGAAACTAAGAATGATTTGACACTAATATATTTGCGTTTCCGTACAAACGCTTTAGGAATGTATAAATCCAGAATAATATTTTGCATAATATATCAACAAATATTCAAAATAAAATAATTTTCATTGTTTTTAAAATATACTATTCTATTTTATTTATAGAATAAGATTATAATTACATAATTCATTACTCGTAGCATTTAAATAAATAAGATAATTCTTCGTCATGATATTATACGCAATACTTGTAAAATCAAACAATTCAAAGAGAATATTGTTTGTTTTGGTTTTTATCTCTTAACTTTTTGTGCGTGGATCGCGTGATTCTCTACTACATTCAAATCAGTCACCCGTAGGTGTACAATGCGAATTTAATGCACAAAACTGCATCGTATTGACATCTATCATGAAACTATAGAATTATATTCAAGTTTATATCAAACTAGAGCTGAGCTCATTCCGCGCGCGCATTTATCTGCTTTTCTCTTTGTATCTAAAGTCATTTACGAATAAAAACAACTGACTTAGTAAGATTTCATGTAATTATAAGTGACAAAAATAGGCATTTGTATATCAATTCTCTACAAATGCATATAGCATTAGATAAATTTAAAATATTTTTTTGTCATAATATTTCAATAAATATGAAAAATGTGTTTTATATAGGCATTTATAATATTTTATATTATTTTTATTATATTTTTCTATAAAATCGGGTGATAATCATCAAATTTATTACATGTTCCACTTTAATATATTAAATACTTAAAATAGTTATTTATTCCCCATGATACTATGCGGAATACATGTAAAATCAAACATTTTAAAGTGAATATTGCTTGTTTTGGTTTTTATCTCTTAACTTTTTTGTGCGTGCATCGCGTGATTCTCTACTACACACAAACCAGTCACCCGTAGGGTGTACAATGCGAATTTAATCCACATAACTGCATCGTATTGACATCTATCATGAAACTATAGACTTATAAACATGTATATATCAAACTAGAGCTGAGCTCATCCCGCGCGCGCATTTTTCAACTTAAGTAGAGTTACCAACACAACAATTAAATTACATGTACAATAAAAAACCCTCTACTATTTTATATTCATATTTATATTTACCGAACGAAATTTTTTAAATCAACTCAAGTTTTGTAAACGCATAGTGTTGTTAAATTTACATCTGTTTGTTCCCGTGTACGTAATTCGATAATAAAGCCAACGACGGCGTCGGTGCTGGAAAAACTAAAACCTAAAAAGGCCCACTACCCCTGCGCCGTTGACTTACGACGCGCTCTCACGTATGTTGTTTCGGCGCGACCCTCATTTGTAACTGCGGCCCGTGAGGCGGGGGCGGTTCGTTGACGTCGCGCTACAGTTCCGGGCCTCCGGGGCAATTTGATCGCGACCGTTTCGCATAAGCGGCGTTATCTCACGTTCGCCGTTTTAACCCGAACCGGAAGCCGTTCTAACCACTTTAACCCGCACGACACCTGTACGACTCACGCCCGCTGCGCGCGTAACACGTTTTTATTATTTTAAATATGAAATAACGCGTGCGGCGCGCTTTTAATGAAAATTTATAATCGGGGCCCCCGCGTGTGTATGGGGCACATACATGAGGGGTCGTAAAACAGCGCGTCGGCGAACTTTATCGATTCCAGCGCCGTGGTTGCAGTAGCGCTATTATTTTTCTTTTCAACATTTCAGGTGTGTTTGCAGCTTATTCGGCGTAATACACTTAATATTTTGCGCAATCGCGCATCCGTTGGCAAACGCAGCGTTTATCCGTGTGGGCTTTTAGTTTTCATGAATATTGTATAATATTTTTATTCGCGTTTGTTTGCATTTTGCTCGCAGCGCGCCACGGCTTTTTTTTGCTCTCATTCAGCGTGCGCAATAAGCTAAATGCGAATCTTGTTTAACCAGTGGACAGTGCGATTACAATTCACGGCGGCTCTGTTACGTTATCTCGGCTTTATTCACTGTTTTACTTGCTCTCGTTTTTCATACTTTATTTTTCAACACAGAAAAAACGTGTATTAATTTTACACTAATTGAAATTCATCAAAATCAGTGATTAATGATATAAATTACGCAGTGGATAAAAAATGTGTTAAATTTTAAACAAGTTTTTCATTGTTTAATTAAAATAAGAAGAAGTTCACGCTCGAAACGCAGCAAAAAAAAAAAACGTATTTTTCTTTTTTCATGTGCCTTTAGTGCTTGTTTACAACGAAATTTTTTACATCCCTTGTTCTCATGTTGGGCTGCAAGTGGCGCAGTGCGCACACCTTAAATTGACTCGGCGAGAAAAAAGAATCCGGAGACGGCGCGCGGCATACGCGATGAGAAAACTTTGTTATGCACTGTTATGATTGGCTAACATCATTCATAATGAAGCGGCGGCGGCGCGCACGCTGCTCGCGGCCACCAAACTTGTTTGCACAATGTTAATAATTAATCGAAGCATTATGGATCCTGCAAACAGAGCAACACACGCACCCAGCCCAACAAAAAACACCACCACCACCACCAGCACACACAGACCGGTCACGTCGGAGTTTTAAATAAGCTTTGGGGCCTTAAATTTTAATCATCGCATTTTCATCTACGTGTTTCACCCCTGCGGGCGTCGGTGGCTGTTGTTTTTGAGGCGCGCGCGCAATTGAAAAATTACTTTTTATTAAGCGTTCTCTTCAATTGTCTCGAAGAAAGAAAAACATAACAAAGTGGCTCCACTTGCGTAATGAAGTAATTTTCTGCGCGCGCTCCGCATCGTTAAACATGAAAGCGAAAACGAACGCGAAACGCCCACCGGGGGCGGCTGAGGGCTGATGGAATAAGTCGCGGGGGATGTATTTATGGAATTTCGAACCACACACAGCCAACAACCGACAACAACCTGCGTGAAGGCAGCTGGAATGTAAAAATCGCGCAGAATGCGGCGGCGAAATAAATATAATCGCAAATTGAATGCATGCGCTTGAGTTGTTTCATCTTCCCCACAAATAAAGTCAAAGAAATCTTTTTTTATCTTAAAACAAATGAAATTTTCAAAAATTACTTAAATAAACTCCATTGCTGCGGTAAAACAAGCAAAATAAAACGTGTACTTGTTAGTTCTTGTTACTTCTGAAACTTGAATCTGATTATAGGTTGGAAAGTTGAAAGTTTTAAGCAAAAGTTGACGATAAATTGAATAAATTGCTAGCTTTCCAATATGATACCCACTCGGAGTCTTCAACTGCGTTTACAAGTTGTTACAATCATTGTCGAGTTTTAAAAAGAGCGTCTGTTTATTGCGTCAGCAATAACTTGTTTGCAGCCGCTCGAGCACAACATTTGAAGAGGCAATTATCTAATTTCAGCCCCCGAGACACACAACACTCGACTCGACGCCAACTGTTTCGCCTCGCCTCCTCGACTCCTGGATGTCTTTCGGTGGCGTCTGGCTTGTTCATTTCACACTTCGTTTCATAACTCAGTGTTTTCCACAATCGTTAGAATAATTCGCTGCAAAACGCGCGCAAAAAACGCGAAACAATTTATCATTAAACAGATTTCGCTAAGTAGCTAATAAATGTTTCTTTGGGCATAAACTCAAGAAATATTCAATGCATTACAATGGTAAATACGTCAAATTAAAGAGAAATTAAATTCGCATCTTTTGTGTGTGGAGTTTTTAATGATTTTGTAATATTTTAGCGTGGAAAGCAAAAAATAAAATTTTTGAGTGTTGTTTTGAAAAGTTGTCTTTACAAGTGAATTTATTACCTATTTGTCGATAGGTGAAGTATGACGAAGCAGGCACCGGATACAAATATTGACGCGTTTAAAATTTAGCTGACAGCCGCGCGTAATTTATGAATAGTTGTTTAATTATGTAAAAGTCCTCGCTGAATAAAGCCGGCGACGATCAAACGCTATCTGCAGCATCATAAATTTCGTCGTTATCGAAATTGCCGCTCGGGCTCAGGTGTCACGCGCCGACCTTCCCCCCTCGCGTTCGAATGCCACCCCCAATGAGGTGAGGGTGCGGAAGGCGGAAATGTACCCCTTTTGCCGTCCTCGGAACACACTCTCGAGCGCTACCGTGTCGGCATAAATAGTGCCTGCAATCAATGACTTCAACATCTAGGAATTTCCACACGCCGAACGACCAAAGCCGCCCTCGACGCTCGCGAACAATGAAACGAAATCTATTTCGTTCGGCGCGCTCGCAACTTCAGCTCGCTTTGCGATTCGATAAAAATAATGAATTCGCGTACAATTACCCTTGAACTTATTTATAAACGACTCAATTGCGAATTGCTGCCGGAGACAAATTGCCATTCTGGCCCATAAAGCACTCGCGATAACGTTCAATCGGTCGAAACAAAAAATGCGCTATTTATTAGACAGAAGCAAATTCATTTTAAAGAACAAAACAACAAAACGAACGCTTTTAACAACGCAAACAGTTATTAATTTAAATTCACTCTTTGAGAATCAATTCACATACCCAAGGCCATAAACAACGAAATATCTAGCAGCACAAAAAAGAATACACACCTTCTTATCATTTCAACGTTCAAACATAAACAAATAGAATAAATAAATAAAATTTTGGTACCCACAACGCCATCTAGTGTGTAAACATCATACCTCAATAGAATTCTTATGGACTACGTGACTTACGCGACCTTCAAACCGTGTGTTTGATTCGTTGGTATGTGATGTGATGCTGGAAAAAGTTCCGAAATTAAGTTTTCATTCATAATTTGTTCATTTCAATTCGTTAATTTGTGATGGATGAGACGCACTTTAATCACAGAGCACGCAAACGCATCAAAGACGTGAAACGCAAAGCCAGACCAGGTAATAATTCATGTTTTTCTTAACTAACCTATAAGTAAATAGATTTTATATATTTACAACTAAATAAATGCATGATTTGTAGAGTTGAGCACTAAAGAATCGTGGGTACAACAAGCCTACGAGCAAAACTTTGCAAAATTCTGGGATTTTACCGATAATTGTGACCGAATTGTTGAGCATGAAGATGCACTTGAGGATTTCATTGAGAAGTACGAACAGAAGTACAAACCAGTTGTAATACTGGGATGTCAAGAGAAATGGTCTGCAAAGCAGAAGTGGACTCTCGAGAAGATATGCAAAAAGTATAGAAATCAAAAGTTTAAGTGTGGGGAGGACAATGAAGGGTATAGTGTTAAAATGAAAATCAAGTATTATATTAAGTACATGCTCAGCACCAAGGATGATAGTCCACTTTATATTTTTGATAGTAATTTTGGAGAGGTAAGATATTACTACCAAAAAACAGCATGGAATATTAATTCTCACATTTATAGCATCCGCGTCGTAAGAAGCTATTAGAGGGCTACGAAGTGCCGTTGTATTTTCGCGATGATTTATTCAAGTATTCCGGAGAGAGTCGCCGTCCTCCTTATAGATGGTTCGTGATGGGGCCTGCACGTTCCGGCACAGGGATTCATATAGATCCGTTAGGAACCAGCGCATGGAATGCGCTCATATCAGGGCATAAAAGGTATAAAACTTAAATTTTTCTAAGTTTTTTTAGATGAAAATTAACGTATTTTGTGTAGATGGTGTTTATTCCCAACACACACCCCTAAGGAACTCCTCAAAGTGACCGGTACACTTGGTGGTAAGCAACGTGATGAAGCCATCACTTGGTTCAATGTAATTTACCCACGCACGAAGCTGCCGAGTTGGCCAAGCGACTGCAAACCGATCGAAATCCTCCAAAATCCCGGTGAGACTGTTTTCGTCCCCGGTGGTTGGTGGCACGTGGTGTTAAACATGGACACCACAATCGCAGTCACGCAAAACTTCTGCAGTCGGGTGAATTTCCCGATTGTCTGGCATAAAACAGCACGTGGACGGCCAAAACTCTCACGCAAATGGCTGCGTACTCTGCAAGAAAAGGAACCAGCACTCGCCGCGATTGCTGAGCGTATCAACATTGAGAATCCGTCTGGGATGGCATCAGACAGTTCTAGTAACTCCAGTTCATCCAGTTCCAGCGATTCGGACAGCTCGAATTCAGATGAAGACAGCGGGCAAGAATCACTCACCGCTAAGAAGAAGCGTCGTAAGTCCGATTATGATTCGGCCAGGGCCAAGATTCTACGTCGAGATGTAAGTCTCCACCTTTAAACACATCTTTAAAATAAAAAATTTAATTTTGATTTGTTTGCAGAGTAATGATTCGGCGCTGTCTTGCCAGGGATCGTAAAACTCGTGATTTTTCTACGTGTCAATTTTTACTCACGCGAATCTTTTGTAACAGTGCCTGAATATTTCAAACTAGACAAGAAACAAACAACCAATCACACCAATCAAGTATTAATATTTATAAAATAACAAGTGGAAACTTATCTGTTGCGTGTGCCTTTGGTCTGATAACAATTTTATATATGAATTTATATGAAAACAGAATATACAAAATTGTCTTCCTACTTATTGTGCCTGCGTTTACTTTTTTATCATAATAGTTATCAAAGAACTTCGGCTTCAGGTACGCTTGGGTTTCCCTTAATCTTTAAAATGAGTTTTTTGCACAGCTCGAAGCCAGCGAAACAAGCGGCATTCGCCGGAAATGCACGTAATAAAACCGGGACGATTCCTTTGTACAGGGCTAGTGGACCTTCGGTTTTCATAAGATGTTTGAAAGCATCACGGACACCATTTGGATAAGTTCCTTCAGGAGCTGGAATATTTTTAGGCATTAATTACTGAAGGACACTTTTCTTCGGATTTCTTTGTATTTTACCTGTTTGTAAACGACTTTTTAACACGTCTGAAGGCATACCGATCAACCAATTGGAAATACCAGCCATGCCACCGGCGAATAACGTGCCGTGGAATGTGATGTCCTTTTTCCCATTATCGGTTAAATAATCTTTGATCGCTTCGTATGTGAGGAAGTACAGTCCGCTAGCGGGAACATCTGAATTTGAAAAAAAAAACGTGTAATCATTCATCCAACAAGAGAGGAAGTGAAATTGTGGGCGGTTGCTTCCTGCATAATCTCTGCGTACGTTTCACTTGAAATTCAAACTGCAACGCAATCTAGTTTCTAGTTTCATTTACAATTATGTGCTCCACGTAAACTATTTAATAACAATCATGTTAAGAGTTTTTATAATATTAGTGGCTTTGCACCAAGCTCAGGTATGTTTAAACCCAGAAAAACGTAATAAATAAATTATAATCAAGAAGATTTATGAGTTGACATCATTTTTAGGTGTTTGCTTACTGGGACAAAGAAGTAAAATGTCCAGAAGCATGCAAATGTCGCTTGGAACACGCCAGCGAGTCACCAATTCATCGTTTTATGCCCAAAGACGAAGAAATCGACAAGCCTGACGTCCCGGAAGCTATTGTACTCGAAAATAACGATGTAAGTATGTAAAATACTATTTTCAATGATAAAATCACAAAGTTACCATCAAAAAACACAAATAATCGATTTTTCAGGTGTTTTACGATTCGGACGACTTAATTTTCCATGAAACTTCATTCATTCGCACTGCAACATGCATAATACAATCAGAAATGACCATAAACAAACTCCTAGATGATCTACCACAAGAAATATCCTCACTAATATTAATCCAAGCCACAAATGCCGGCAACAAAACACTTAGATTCAGTGATTTCATCAACTTCGAAGAATTGAACATCCTGGAGATACAAAGTGCTCAACCATGGAATAAACCATCAAATCAACAAGATTCTATTCATTTTATACTGGATATAGATGTCCCACTGCCAAAGTTAAAGTATTTGAATCTTGAACGTGTGATTTTGAGCAATTCACAGGAGAGATTGACACAATTCGAGAATGAAATCTTAGTTTTCGAACATGTGCAGAGAAGTGGTGATGGACATTCACTTACGTTCTTAGAAAAACGCACCGGGGAAATATTACCCTATCAAACCTACAAAGAAAACTTAAAAGGTGAAGATGGGCCACTTTTCATGGGATTTAACGATTTGAATCTACTGAGATTGTACGACTGTGAAATCCATCACATACATCGTGAAATGTTCGAAGGTCTGTCCAGTTTAAACTATTTGATTCTCGAGAAGAATAAACTACAGTTCATATCGGAATTCTGCTTCTACGGTGCGCCGAATTTGAAACTTTTGTCTTTGGCATGGAATAATCTCTTGAACATCGAAATACGAGATCTTGCAGGACTGCTAGAGTTGGAATACTTAGATTTATCACATAATAACTTCACTCAACTGTCGGAATTATCACTGCCGCCATTTCCAAAGCTGAAATTATGTAATTTCGCTAACAATCCAATTACGGACATATTTCCGAATACTTTTGAAGTGATGAATACAACTTATGCATTGGTTGTTGGTGGATTAGAACAACCTATGACTCTACAATCGAATTCTTTCTTAGGACTGAATTTGTTAATGAGTCTTAAATTGTATTATTTAAACATACCACTGTTTGAGAGGGAAATTTTACGTGGTATGCCAAACTTACAAGTGTTGGTAATGACTGGAAACATTCCAGAGATACAATACGATGCGTTTTTGGAAGTTATCAACTTGGATACGTTGATTCTAAGCACTTGCAACCTTAGTAAACTATCAGTCGACGCTTTTATAGGTCTAGAAAAACTTAGAGTGCTGGATTTATCAAAGAATAATCTGGATATACTTCCACCAGGATTATTCGATGTGTTAACAGGTTTACATGAGCTGTACCTGCATGATAATCACTTCCAAACTTTACCACAGCATATTTTCACGCATCTACCAGCTAGGATGATTCGTCTGACAGGTAATCTTTGGCACTGTTCATGTGCGATGAGCGATTGGAAACCGATGATTGTCAACCGCATCAAACAGAAAACAATCAAAATCTGTGATAGCACAGGCGACAAAGGCTTGAGTTGTCCGCAAGATGATAAAATTTACTATAAATATGTATTTGACAATGCAGTAGCGCCGAAATGTTTAACTCCGAAGAAGTTTCTGAACTGGAATGTTTTTCATGTCATGCGGAGGCAATTTCGATGCGTAGAGTTTAAACCACGGATGAAAAAACGCATGAGGAAGCGTTTGCATCTTATTAATCGGAATATAACTAGTAGTCGTGAAGTAGAAGTTGAGAATGAGTTGACAACTCATGTTTACGACTTGGAAGATGATAAACTAAAGCGTAAAATGGAACGCGAGATGAAAATCAAGAAACATCAAGAAATGTTGATACAGAATAACATTGTTGAAGATAACAATGAAGAAAATAATAATATTATGTAAAGATACGTGGAATATCTTCATAAATATCAAAATTGGTAACATAAAATACCAATTTTTACTTTAGCATTAATAATTATTGGAATATTTGCGTTTTCATTCCAAATATTTGTATTTTTTACCTGAATAAACTTCTAACTCACCTCTAAGAAGTGTTGCCCCTGATCCTCGATAGATACTCCTCATTCCACCCTCTTTGTACAGTTTTTTGACCACATCTACAGGTCCATCATACTTTTTCACCTTTGCATCATGCTGGATTTGCAAAAGGCACTTAATACGTTCACCTGGCGCCATAATTAATGTTGTGAAGATACCAGAGAATGCTCCAGCCGCAAAATAGTCCATGTAGGTGAATTTTGTGGGATCTGCTGGACCTAGAATCTGTTTACCTACTTTGAAACCCATGAAAGAGATGGCAAAAATCGGCGCTACGCCAGCTAAAGGTGCACCCATTCCTTTGTACAATCCTCGAGGACCTTCCTTGGTAATTGTCTTCTTTACACAGTCCACCATCCCTGTATAGAGGGGTGGTTGGCCTGGGGCAGGAATTGGCATGGTTTGTAATCTGACCTAAAAGAAATCAAGTTTTATGATAAATCTGGTAACTAAAGTGAAAGTTTATTGATATAGACTCAAAATATGGGAGTTTATAGAGGTTTTTGGCAGGAATATTGTAATGATACTTACCTTAAGGGTATCAAATGGATGTCCTACGATAACGGTGCATATTCCACCGAAACCTCCGCAGAGGAAATACTCAAGTGGTCCGTCCGCCATGGTTCTCTCCTGGGCACTGATTTACACACGTTGGTGACTAGACGGCGACTAGCATTCACTAGGACAACTTTCGTTATAAACTATGACGTTGAGCATCAACTTTTATAAAACTGGTTGAACTTTGATCGCGTCATTAGCGATGTCTGAAGGCGGAGCAGAAACACTTAAAGATAGCAAATGAAACGCGTGTAATTGACACTCACAATTGTTTGTTTACTAACTTAATCTCTAGTTAATTAATGATAAGCGTATCGCGTGTCCCTGCGGATTGCAGGAAGCAGGAACCAGCTGTTTTGGATTTTCCTGCCGCAGTAGAGCAACCGACTATAGTCGAAGGTTAGCGATTATGTGAATTTTACAGGGCACTGTAATTTTCACAAATGACCGTTTTTTAACGGTTTTTCGCGCATTTTCACTTTGTCATTCATCATGAGCGTTTGTACATCGATTAGCAGGAAGTTAAGCTTTTAGTTAGTGCAAATTAGCTGTGATTCTTCGGGAGGTATGTCAATATTGAAAGATTTATAATATTTGTACAAGAAGTAAATGCAAAAAGGAATTACATTTTGTTTTTTGTTTTATAACCTGATTATCTGAAAATCAAGCTAACTGCGATCAAGTAGCATTGTACTTATCGGCGCTTATTTGTAGTCATTGAAGTGTTTTATATCATCGTACAAACTTCTTTTAATAAGATATTATACATAAGAAGTGATTTTCAACAAATCACACCGAATTGTGTGCGTTTTGTACATATTTCTTCGAGTTTTCATAAGTTTATAGCTGTTTTTGAACGACGCGCCATTAAACACAGCCACAATATTTAACTACAGTGTTTGTTGGCATTTGTCACTAGTTCTGTGCGTTTACAAGGACATTTTTGTTTGTTTACGATTTAAATGGGTAGTATCTTCAAGAATAAGTCCCGTATTTGAATGAAGATGTCGCTAGGATGTCCTCATTTCTAATTTTATTCTTCACAGTTTGTGTGCGGAGAAAGTTTGTTTGTTGCCGTGAACGTGTTTGTGTATCAGTGAGTTTACCTGCAATTCAATGCCAACCAGCGTGTGCGTGTGAATCCACGCGGTTTCGTGCAGAAGATAAAGTTGTTTACACTACAGTTGACAATATCTACTGATACACAGATAAAATCACTTCTTACATTCTTCGTGTGTTGCTTTTTACAATTTTATTGCATTTATTATATTAAAATGCAAAGAAACAAAACTTAAAATGAAATGCAATGATTCTTTCATTGTCCTTCTTTATTATAAACACTTCACATCAATACTATAATGCGTATAACAATTAACAAACATTAAATAAACACTTATCAACAACTAAACACCTTGTTTAACAATCGTCAGCAGTGTACTTGTTGTACTAGAAGACGGCGCGAATAAATACTGCTTCTTGGCGATTTCCAAAGGCACAAGGGCGGTTAAACCCATTAACTGCCCTTCGGATTCCGTCTTCCAACCAATAAGATAGTGATAGGAATAGATATAAAAGTGTCCTTTATCTGTGACTGCAGTTAAATACGCATCACTTCTACCAAAATCTTTATAAACAAAAATATTCCACCATTAAACAAAAAGACATAATTTTTAATTAAAAACATACCTCCAGTATAAAATACTGATACACTCGTCACAGGCAACTCATGAAGAATCGTCTCATGGAAATAATACGTCTGATAGAAAGGATTATACTTTAAAACCTGCAGAGGACTGTTTTTCTGCGCTAGGATAATTAAACTATCAGCGCCTAACACTACTGACGTCGCAGATGTACAACCTGTTGTTGGGACCAGTCTTAATAATTGGAACTAGAAGAAAAACATCAAATTTTAATAAAAATCGCAGTTAAAACGCAAAAATTTAAAATATTACCATTTTGGTTTCACGATTAAATCTATAGATGTCCGTTGTAAGTGTTTCATAGAACAACCCACTGCCAACATTACCAATGACCAAATTAACCCCCTGAGCAGTATGGAAGACGTGCAACGTCGATGCGCCATTGGTACGCAGCTTATGAACATGTTCAACTTGTGTTTTATCCTGCGAAAGACGCAGCACCATCGAGTCTAGTTCAGTGGTATCATGACTACTATCATACAACTTCGCCAATATCACATAAACATGTCCATCCAACGCGAAGAACTTCACATCTGAGATATATCCAGTGATATGTTCAGGGAAATTATATTTTTTTCCTTCCCCAGCGAAAGTGTACCAATTTACGGATGTATACTCCTGAGATGAATTGGAACTGCATAATTTACTTCGACTTTTTGTGTTGGTGATTACATCAATGATCACCTCACGATCTTCATATGAATATATTCTTTGATCGTATTTATTCTCAAAGAAACCATGTGTTTTTCCTGGATGTATACTGACTGTCCTTTGATTAGGACATGTGCAATCATTTGGTAAGCCACAAGTTGGACCTGGTTCACTCGTGTGAATGTGCATCAAGACGCCATCTTTTTTCTCGATGATTTGGGCATCGTGAGTATTCTCCAGTTGGATTTGAAGATCATCCGATCGTTCAAGATATAAATATTCATGTGGTAATCCTAAAAATGTAAAATTAATTAATATTTATTTAGGAGAGAAGAAAATATGGTGTTACTTTTGATAACATCGGTGTTTTCTGTAACTAATCCTTCAATTTGGCGGAGTGCATCGTTTATTACTTCGATGCGCACGCGATGATTATCAGAGCGCAGTATTTCACGAATGTGCTCAAATGGAACGCCGTTAATGCTCTCGGCGCGAATGTCTCCGGTTATTTGCGAAGGCGCCAAAAGATTCTACAAATCATGAATACAACAAACAATAAATCACAAAAAATAATATAAACTTACAATATTTCCGTTAATTCTCGCTTCTTTCTGAAGAAGAATTGAATTTTGGTACAAATCACTAACTGGTAACCCATTTAGGACTTCAATAATGGCGTCACCTTGAACTTCTAAACCCTGCGTGAACTTTTTCGGCTCTTTTATAACCTGCAGACCATCATCGAAGACGACATCATCAAGATTAATATCATTTACGTTCGGGATTGTGGTTTTCCCTACAAAAAAATCAAAAAATAAAAAATCGAAGAGTTTTATTACTGGAAATGAAAATTACCATTGAGCTGTAACGCATCAAAGTAGTAATTTGCGGTTGTGGTTTGATCGTGACCCGCATCCAGTAGCAGCCTATCATCGAGGAACTTGCTAAAGTTAACATTGTTCACCATGTTGATGTTCAACGTGTTCCGAATGGTCAAATCATCGAAGGTAGCCTTCGGAATGGGCCTTAAACTATCCAGAGAGACTAAATTATCAGGCAGGACACCGGAGGCAACAGGTGTTGTGAAACGATCGGTTTGTACCCCGCCGAAAAAGGTTTTCCTTCCGCGAATGCCACCATTGAGATTTACCCCCGTGGCATCCAAAATACTTTCATTTAAATCGGTTATATTAATATCATTTACTTTGGGAATGAGCGTGTTACCCTCGACACCCATCGCCGCTACATTTAGTTGAACAAACTCTTTCACACCAGTGACGACCTGCATTATACCACACCGAGGGATTATCAATCATATAGTGCAATGGATGAGATTCTCATTAATTACCTGATCAGTTGCATTGTGCGTCAGCGCGTCGCTCACGATCCGATGCAAATCAATGCCATTTATCTGCTTGCTATTGAATACGGCGTCGGCGTACGCATGATGCAAGCTTGTCTGTGTGTGCGCATAAAATGAACATGTGTAATTAATCGCATTTCACCACTATTGCGAATAGTGTGCGTGATATTTACCGGAGCCAGAATGATGTTGTCCTTCTTTGTGTGCACTGCGTTGTGCAGCAAACGTGCGAGTGGATTTTCGGCGTCCGTCAGGGTGAGATTGTCGACTACAACCGCGCGCCAAGCTCGCTTTGGTATGTGATGAATGTTTGCAATGGCAGCGTGCACATCACAGCGCGAAATGTTGGCGTAGAGTGAGCGCTTAAAGCGTGGCTTTGTTAAACGCAAACCGTGCTTTACTTCCAGCACCTGGAGGTGTTGCGCGTTGGTGTTGATCAGGTACGTTGTGCGGATGTTATTGATTTGCGGTGTGAACATATTCGCTAAAAAAATCAAAAATTAAACAAAATTATTTTTTTATATTTTTGACTTACGAGTATGAAGATATTTAAATGTATGCTTTGCGGTAACATTTTGAGGCCACACACGATAATAGAGTTGTTCAAGAAGCTCCTGAAGATTAATATCGTTCATTTGACCAACGATGAGCTCCTTTACATGCACTTTTCCATCAAAGAATAATTTATTAGTGAGTGGCTCGCCTTCATTTCCACCCATCTGAAAATTTAATTTTTATTTCTTTTTCTGCTTATATTTTGCACTGTACTAATTTACCTTTGCGATGATTGCAGGCATATTCACGGTATTAATATAAATGACGTGATCCACTTTGCTAATAGAAGCGTTGCCAGTGATTTCCAGCTTATTCAACGTCTCCAACAGATGCAGTTGATTCAACTCGACGAGGTACTCGTTAAATAATTTGTTATTAATTTTCGCCGCAAAGAGATGAGTAGCTGGAACACATCGACAGTTTTAATTCGCGTTTGTTTCACATTCGATATGATGCAAATTACCGGTTAGATTATCAAAGTCGACGTTGGCCAGCTCGGCCGATTGATCGATGAAAACAGCGCGTGACCGCAACTCCTGCAGATCGATACCATGCAATTGTTGCATCGTCAAATTATTGACGTTTACGCTCTGCACCGTTAGATTGCGAATGATTTTGCTACCGATGATATTACTCGCTGATTGTGTGAGTAACTCACTAGTTTTAACATCGTTCAATTGATCCGCTTTCAAATTCTCCACGCTCATGCTACCCGCAAATTTTTTCCTGCCTCTCAACGTATACCTACATAAAATAAAATTTTACAATGCGATTGTCCGTAATGAATTGCTGCTTGTGATAACGTACGTGCCATTTAATCTAACTGCGTCGGCGTTCAGTTTCTGTAAATCTGGTTGATGCTGTTTCGCCCCGTCGACGATAACGCTGCCAATGATGGTGACGTTTTCGAACACGTATGTTGTGTGTTTTGTACCCGGTGGACTGGTGGTGATACCATTGGCCATGTAATCATCGATGGGGATGTCGTTCAAGAGCTTGGTGTTCAAATGCGGGGTGGAAATGCCGCGCTGCGCCTCGAAATGCACCGGTATCTCCTAAGAGTGTGAGTAAAAGCCATGCGTATGCATTTTCATTAGCCTCGCGGCGGGGACATTGATAATAAAATTCTATTGCTGCGCCGTTATACCTGATTTGTAGTTTTCAGCCAGTAGTCGTCGAAGCTCGCCTGATTAAACTCGTTGCCGTTAATGAACAGCCTCGCCGCCTGGGTCATCTGCACGTTCGCCAGGCGCAGATCGCCGTTGATGCGCACTTTGTTATTATAAATTTGTAATAAATCGCGTTCGTGCGTGCCTACTATGTGATTCTGTTTGTAGAACTCGTCCACCGAGCCGTTGATCGCCAAATTACCGGTGATATGCATCGTTTTCAGCGTGACCGGACCTATTGCCCACCAATCATCAATAATTGGATTAAAAACATAGTTGCATTTATCTTACCGGCTATCAATGTATTTGCACCAGTGGAAACTGTGGCAACGTCATGCTGAAAGTCCAAATTGTTGATTTTTTTCACTCGGATGTTGGGAGCATGAACAGTGCGAAATTCTACAATGGAATCGACATTCTGCGTGGTAGTGGCCGTCAGCAAATCTTCGACGCGCACGCCTCCGATGAATTCCGGCGCTAGAAATTGCGTTTTCACGTTGTTGAGCGTCACATCCCCGCGAATTGTCTGCGCGCCACCGATGCGGAACACATCTGCGGAAAAGTTGCGCCAGTCGACGTCGTTAATCGTCTCCACTACCAAATTCTTGACCGTCACTAAAGGCTGGAATTCGTATGGCAGCGCCTTGGGGTCGCCGAATAGCTTGATGGTTTCCGATGTGTTTTTCTAAACAAACAAAAAAATATATAAAAGCAATAGCGCTGCGAGTATATCGTGGAACATTTGACGCTATAACGATTATGATCGCGCGTAAAATACATCAACTCGTTTTCGTACCCCGTTTAGAGCGGTGGCATGGACGTCGGCGGCGTGAACGTTATTGAAACTTTTATTCCCCGTTATGCGGGCCGGTGCGCGCCGCAGATAAAGCGATCGCATGTCGACGTCGTTAATTTGGGGTGCGAATATGTTGAAGGCTTTTAGGGAGGCGACGCGCATAACTCCCGTCAGCGTTTGATTCCCATCGGGGACACCAGCCGTGGACAGCGTATCTGTAAAGTGTAATACGAATATATACGCTCGTACATTATCAATAATCACTTTTTATTGTTGGCATTTGTGAGGTGGAATTGCGCCACCATGCAAATTGACGGCATAACTCACATTTGAAACAATAAAAAGTTACGAGTGGATATCAGCGTAATGGTCGCACGTGGCAATGATTAAAAAGAATTAAATACCTTTGAATAGACCATTGTCGTTGTGGACTTCCAGATCGGATACCTTCAAGCTGTTGATGTACATTGGAGTTGTGATTATTTGATTACCAGAAGTGGATAACCATCTTTCCGGCTCCCAGTTAATACCGTTGAGTTTCTTGGTACGTATACTCGAAGCCTTTAATTTTTCTGCATTCAACGACCCTTGGATCAAGACTTTTCCATCAACAATCACGTCATGGTTTGCAAGAGCTTCAGATAGCAAAGGTTTTAAATTCTGTGTCTTCACTTCAAGTTGTTTAAGTTGTTCTAAGACTTTATTAGTTTCTTCTTCAAGATCATCTAATGAAGAAAACTCCTCAGGAGTATTTTGTCTTAAAGCCGCCTCTGGACCAGGAGTAAACTCTTCAGCTTCCTTTGGTGATTGGATTATCTTCTCATGGGTTTTAGAAGGACTAGGTTTGATCAATTCATCAAGTTTGGAGTTATTAATGAAGTCATCCAACTTGTTCATACAGTCTTCAAGACCATCACTTTGATGCACACTGCTTACTATATCTATTTTCGTGTGGGTCATTGGAATCAACATAAAATTCAATTCGTGATCATCTGTCAACCCTAGGAGTAAAACCACTTTTTCACCAAAAAACTGAGTAATATGCATGTTTAAAACTTTTGTGAAGCTTGGAACCAACTGATGCGTCTTCAAATGTTGGATGGTATCCACCATCAGAGTAAACACCATTAAATTATCCTAAATTTCAACAAAAATATTAAAAAAGAGTTTTTTAAAAAGAGATTATAAAATACTTTGGTAACTGTAGCGATCAAAGGAATCTCTTCTTGTATTGAAAGAAAAACTTGTTGGACATTTGGTTGGACTTCAAATTGATGCAGAAGAATAAATTCATTGTGGTACCATCGATATAGAGTGCTAGTAGGAGCATCGTTGAAGACCACAAGAAACGTATGGTTAGCATGGTTGAAAGTAAGAAGATGCGTCGATCTGATATCGTCCAAGATTTGGATTTTGCTCAATTTATCGGCATCAAACTCATACACATACGAATTCGATGATTCTAACTCATTGTGTCTTAAGACGATGAGGATTTCTGAATCAGAATCGAAATTTGGAAACGAGCTCAGCCCAATTGCACCATCAACATAGATTTTTTCTATGTCATCAAAATGACTTTTTTCCCATTTGTAAACACTAAAAATTTTGATTAAAAATTGATTTTTTTTAAATTAAAATTAAAAAAATTATGCTTACACAACTGGGGCCATTGAAACACCTAGTACACTAGAAATGACAAGATATAATGAACCATGGCTAACGAAAAACGTCGCATCAGTTAATTGATTGATCGTCTTGATTGTCTGCACCGGCGTCCGAGGCTCAAGCGAATCGTTGCTAAAGCGATAAACATGCGAGACTGTATCGTGCACGAAGCACACGAACATAAACCCGACTCCATCGTGGTCAGTCGTCTGAAAATGCAACAAAAGAACATCATCACATCCAGTAGCCAAAAAGTTCCAGCTTGTGATTGAGTAATACATGCGCGAATGACTCACGTGCCGCGCTCGAGAATTGAATCACGAGTCTAACGGTGCGGCATGATTCACGTACGTACGTACCTTGATGAAGGCAATTTCATCGCGCATTTCAGGGAACGTCTTCAGCGACGTCAGGATGTACTTGTTGTCTTCGGGCGCAACGTAATACAACTCGCCATCGGAGAGGAGATAATTGCGGCCGAAGAGGTCGAACGTGTGCGCCTCGGTGGTGTTCTCGAAGGTGACGAGGTGCGACTCGCCGAAGTCGATTTGACTCTGCTGATGCACATCTAAAGAGATCAAATCAATTTCACACATTTTCTACAAAATTGCGACGAAAGTGTTACGAGACCTTTGGAGCGTTTTATTCGTGCAAACTCCTCGTTTACGTAGCGCATTCGATCAGCGAGATAATTCCGAAGCGACAATTGCACATTTCCAAACACGTGGTCTTGGTTAAAATATAAATACTAAAATATTTTAAATTAAAACTTAAAGTTAAGTGGATTTAACATAACTTACCAATATTAAAATTGTAAAACACCGCATGATTAATTAGTTTGCATTTGAATGAATGTGAATTGACTTAAGTAACACTTAACACTTAAGTTACTGGGTATTCACGCTGCGGAAGTGCGCACACGACTGAAATTATTCGCGGATATGAACAAATTCAGATGGTCAAGGACATGATATCGAAAAACCAGATTGGACCATGGTCAAAATATGGACATTTACTATGAACTGAAAAAGAGGGACTTCTTTATTCCCATCATCAACGCATTTACATCTATTTGCATACGGCGATCGTAGGGTCATTTATTAACGCGACCCTTTCGCGGACGCTTAAACGCGTGTCATTGAAAGATTACCCCACGTCATTCGCATCGTATACTTCCCGCATTACGACACGTTTTCCTCACTCCTCATTCCCGAATGGTCAGTCAGTCAGCCCTGTTTTTCTCCCGGAAACTATTCCATTAATTTTAATCAAGCCTCGTCCACATTGATTTAAATGCTGATGACGAATCCGAAATAAACCAACATGTCACGCATCACGATCGAAAATAAAATGTGCATTTCTATTTTCTATTAATGAGATGGCACTCCGAAATGGCTGGGACATTTTAATCTTTACGAGTTCAATCCCGGACAAAGGAGATTGTTTCGTTTATTATTTATACGACTCTCGGCGAAATGGCCAGGTTTTATGCGGTGGACTGCAGCCGAGAGCCTAGTAAATCAACTTTCGCTATTAAAAATGTAATTACTAGTTTTATTGGTCCATACAAATTGGGCATCAAAATGCATATGTAACTACAATGTCACTGGCTGTGTGCGCTTGTTAACAATTGCAACAAAGCAACTATTTATTGTTATTGACGTAATGTGCGCGTCGAGCGCACTTGAGAGAGAGTTCATGTCAAATGCGAACGCAATAAATTTTACTCCGGATGTAGCACGTCAGCACTTCAACGTTTCGCATTACAAACTCACAAAAATAAGCAGAAAAAGATTCTCACAATGGAGCAGAACATAACCTAAATTTTTAACTGGTACATAACCTATAAAAACTTGATTATGGTTGAAATTGCAAAAGTTTTAAAGAAAGGAATGTAAATGTGTTTCAATTAAATGCTGCCCGGTCGATCATAAAGTGGAATGTTCGAATCAGCGAGATTGGATTGCGGGGTGCGTTGTTATCTTCACGTACAGGGAAAGTTTAATTGCTGAGTTAACTACCGCGCGCGCGCGCACAGCGTGTCCATTACTAGTGTTTAATGATGAGATGTATGTTCGGATCAGCGTTGCTCCGGCACTCGGATTAATTATATATCGATACACACGGGGTGGCATACTCGTAAACCCAATGTCCGAGAATTATTCGCTTTACAACCCGAATAGATACGCAGTTAATATAAAAATAATTTATTTTTATTCTCAAGAAAGAAAATATTCTATGCACAGATGCGTTTTATATTCGCACGTTCATAAAATTATATATTGACTATAAAAGATTATTTTCGATTTCGATTTTGGCGATTTGAATTGCTTAGATTATCTCTCCACCCTCTCGCGTGTTTCTATTTACAGTAAAAATTTAAATCCCCGGACGTAAAACGCACACCGTATGTCACTCCATCGCAAGACACAAAGAAATTCGTCAAATGCCGCACGTAATAAAACACAAAAATACTTTCTGTGAGGCGAAGGGAGATTTGTGATTCCTCGCCTCGAGGAAGAAATTGGTTTGTATTTAAATGATTCCCGGCGACAAAGGCGGTGATTTGTTTAAAGACCAATCAGGGGTAACATGTCTTTACGGGTCTTCTATGGTCGCACTATAGCAAACTGCGAATTAGACGAAATGGGCCTGGATGCCATAGTGGCACCGTAATCGTTTTAAGTCATTTATAGTCGCGGGCGCGTTCATCCCTTGTCGATGGGTGGGAGAGGGATACCCAGGGATATTCCAACCTGTCGTAAAGTGGAGTGATCTGTGGACCGAAACAATGCTTAACGTGACATTATTGTTATGACTCTCGCAAGCTCAGGGGTGCCGCAATTCCCTTTGTGTGCCACCGAATAAAAATAAATTAACAAAACGATCCTCACCAAAAAAAAATTCTAGATTAGATTTTGACCATTTTAACAATAATTAAATGATATCTTACCAAAACATGCAGAATGCAATATTAAAAAATGTATGAGAGGAAAAAAATTTTAAAATATTTATTTACGGCCATTATTTTTTATTGCCCGGACGAATGACCAGCTTTGTGAGGTATGGAGCGTGGACGTAGGCCGTTTGGACGGATTAAAAACATTAAGCCCCAGCATGCGAGCGGATTTTCCCTTTCAAATGCGTTTTGCTCCTCGCTTCAGGAAATGAAAGATACTCGCAAAATTAGTTTTATAAAATAGTAAATATTTTTCTGTAAAAAGTAAAAGTCCGCCACACCCCAAGGTGTTCTTTTAACAATATTAATAATAATTAAATCCATCGTAAAACTTAATTACAAGCAGCTTCAGATAACGTTAATGCGCTTGTATGTCGTGCAATTAGTTGCTTCTTTTAATTGCAGCGCCCGTGCACAATTACAAATTCGCGTCTGGCAGGTAGGACGCCCGGCAGCAAACAAGCGGAACGGAAATAAAACGGCGGGGCCAAAAGCGACTAAAACGCGATGCGTGCGCGCTGATAAGTGCCCGCCAGTCGAAGGCGGCTCCCGCAATAGGCGCATTGTTCTCGTTCTATCAGCGCGGATTCACCGGAAAAGCGCCACAAGGAGGTTAATACTCGCGAACCATCGTTAAATCGCTTTAGTGGCTATAAAATATAAGTTAAAAAATACAAAAAGCATATCACACATTAAACTAATCAGTGCTATGCGGAGACGAATCGTCTTCGCTGCCTGAATAAAAATACTGCACACGCACCGAAACGAATTGCCATTTTGGACAATTTATCTCACAGATACGACATCGAACAAAACACGTTTCGAGTATTTTATTGCATTCTATACGTTCAAATTTAAATCCGAACTCGTAAAATTTATTGCCACTATCTTATTGTATATTTTATAATTGTGTTGTTCTATTTTCAACTAGATGTCGCTGTGATTCAATTTAATAACGCGCCGAACGTGCCCACACAAATAATGATTAAAAACTTTTATTCTCGGCGCGTTGTTCGTCATTAACGAAGCAATTAACACTCGCCGGCGTTGGTATTGTGCGTGAATTTGTCGTCGCGTTTCGACACCTGGGTCGCAACCGCCCATCCGTTACAAATGATCTGTGATACATGTAATTACTCATTATGTCCTTTCATCAGGTGTGTGGATGTGTTCGAATTGAATCATACACAATAGCGATGGAACTTGCGAAGAAAAGAAAGTGGCATAAAAGACGCATTCAATTAATTCCCGGGGCCTTTAAAGATCGAGATTAATCGATTCCGAGTAAAATAGACGTATAAAGTTTAATGCGATTTAATCAGCGGGTCTCCGGAAAAAAGGAAGACGTGTCACGCCCCGCCGGTGATGTTAAAAGTGCGGGGCGCACCGTAAAAAGCCAAGATTGGTATTTACCAATGCGGTGTGTCTTGCACATTCGCGTCTTCTGCCTGCTGCTTCTTTGCGCTTAATTGTCTCGAAATTGGTTCATCTGGAGTTTTATCACTGCGCGTACACCGAATAGGTGGAAGCCGGAAAACAAATTGGATTTGTGCCTATTTAATTTCCAGTTGGAATTGAACGCGGAATTTGAATTTCAGTATGAAATTCAATCTGTTACTTTGACGAATAGTAGTGCCTATAAATCGCGAGTATAACCAAAAAAAAAAGTTTAAAATCTCCGCCAGACGGTGGAAAATTGCCGAGGAAAAAAATTTATTCGTTTTTTGTGTTTCGTGCCACGTGCGTGCATGTGCTTCCGGCATGCGTATCATGCGGTTGACATCGTATATTTCAATATTTCGCCAGATTTTGACTTCATATATTCATAGCGTTTTCGCTGGAAAATGGAAAAGTGCCTTGGGTTGAAATTAAAATAACAAAGAGACCCACAACTCTCGGCGCACGAAGAGAAACGAACCGAGAAGTAGGCAATTTCTTCTAGTTTACTCTCGTTTCACGCACCCCAAAACTTTCCAACCCTCAAACCGCACATATGTGAATATTCCGCTATATGCAATATAGAAATTTACGACCTGTAAAAACTTCGTACAACATAAAAATCTGGAATATTTTCCCGATTTTAGTATAACTCATGTATCGCAATGGAATTGCTGACGTAAAGGCGCCGGTAAAAGAAAAACAACAGTGATTTTAAACGGTAGTAACAATAACATGCAAAACAAATAGCGGTGATAATGGCATCCAACATGGCGCACGCGTTTAATTTAAAGACCGTTCCCTATCTATTAAAGCGCAACTTAAAAATGGAAAACAAGCTCGTTTGGTCAGACTCGTAAAATCCTATTTACTGCCCATCCCGAGCCCTTCTATAGCCGTGTATACGACTATGGCAACGCCAAGAAGATACCGGCTAGTTGATTCCATAAAGATCCAGTCGGGCGCTCCCTGAAATAGAAAAAATAAAAAAAATACTCACGCAAAGTTATATCGCTCCCGAACAATTCCAACTGATTTCCTTGCGTATCAATAAAATAAAGACCTTTTTTACTCCTACGTGAGTCGTAAATTATGTTTTTTACTTTTTTTTGTTTTGAATTTGTATCCGGAGGCGATAGCAACAAGCAAGGATCGAGATCATGACAAGGGTGCATATTTCGAATTGTCTTGGGATTTCGGCGTCGTTGGTCAGTGGACGTGAAGTACGCGCTGCTCTCACGCGCGTTTGAGTAGTCGAGGAGTAGAAGCAGCCAGCAGCGCCACTTGAACATTTGAAAGCGCGCCCTGCGCACAGAAAGTGCACTCGTTTCCCAGTGGATAACAAACAAGTGCTCGGGCGCCGCATTCTGCCCACTCGACGGTGCTCGAAACATCGGTTCCTTGATGGGTATCAGCTTTAATTGAAGTATTGATCTAGAAATGAGGGTTTTATGGCTACACAAAAACGCGACGCGCAAAAAATAGAGTGTCAGCCGCTCCCCGGGACAATGTGAATAAT